ATCTCTTCCAGACAACCTTTTTATCTGTATAAATATTACTCCTTTATATCTGTATAAATGTGGGCCAAATTAGTTTTAAAGTCTTTCATTCTTTACAATGACGTTGGCAATAAAAATCAGGTACATATGTTAGTACAATTTATCTGCATTCGTCACTTTATCCAATCGTGAAGTAAAACATGATCTAGATTCTCTAATGGCCTGAAAATATCTCTAAAATTAGAAAAAATTAGAGATAAACATTCCAGAATCCGGCCAATAAATATAAAAATATTGAATATATATTTTCGTAATTAACTGCCTCCATGACGTCGCAGCAATACCGGAATACTCGAAGTTTGTTAAGAACAAACTTTATGGCTCTAATTACGTTGTAATAACATGCCAAGTATGTTTATTCTTGTTTGAACATCCACACTAATTATCTCATGGAAATATATTGTAGGAATATATATGATAAAAATTAAATTTTGTTTGTATAGGAGTTCATATACCCATCACGTGATCTCTATAATTAGACGAGCGCATAAACTTAAACCGAAAGGCGAAATGGATTGCTTTGAATATACTTGTGGAATGTGACATCATCATATAATTATTAAACTGCCATTTTTACTGGTAACATTTACTAGTGGGCACTCTAGACGTATGTTGACTAAATAGGTGAAGTGCTGAAGAAGAGCCAAATGAAAAATATTCATAATCAACAAGCCGGTATGTAAAAATTTATGAATATGAAGGAAGCGTAAGAGGTCTGATTGAATTGAAGCATTTGACGTTCCATTGTTTCTACCTACCCCAATGGGGACAGGTGTGACCGATATATATGTACTTAAATAAATACGATTTAGTAGTCTCCCCCTAGAAAATTGTATCAGATCGACCACCTTGTGCTCTATTTGGATACCATCGTGGTTTATCCTGTAATTTTGTCTCAATACACTAACTCACCCGACTTCATTCTCGCCAGTCATCGTTCACTGATGCTCCACCAGCATGTACCGATAGCGCAACCGGGGTTGACATTCCATTTTTTGTCCATTAAAATAATTTATAAACCGAATATAAAAATGTTATTTCTAATTAACATATACTCGTACACTATCTATTTTTATATAATTTTAATAATAATTTATATATGTTATCTTATATATGATAATTTATATATATTTAAAGAGTTTCTTGCGGGTTCTTCTCAGTGGATAATAACTTTCTGAACCTTGCAGTCAATTTAAAAAATAACTATTTAAAAGTGCTTGTAAATAAGTTTATTTGAATAGAGTTGATTTGAACTTGATCTTTAAAAAGAGGAGATTGTTAAAATTGTTGTTTTTTTTTATGTGTATGAAACGATTATCAATTTTAAATCAATATTAATAGTTCTTGCAATCCACATACGTATTTACTCTACATTTAAATCCCATATTTATTTTATCAAAATTGAATTGTTTTTAAATTGATTACACATGACACAAAATTATAAAATATTTCCAGAGAAATTCTCACAAAATTTTTACACCCAATTTTTTCCTGTTTTTTTTTTTTTAGAAAAAGCAGCAGTAAACATTAAATGGGACATAAAAATGCATTTTTCTGTAGTAATTACTTTGGATCTTTTTTAATGATCGTAACGTAAAAAAAGCTAAATGGCCAATTAGGAAGTAAGCTGTGATTATATATGAAACTGTTTAATCTCCGGCTGTGCTTCAATGGCCTCTCATTATTTTATTTTATTTTTCTTTTGAGAGTAATTCTCACTTGTATTATTGGTATACAATGGCAGAACTCTTTTGCTATATTCGCCATGTGGCTCGGCATAGAATAGGTCACCTCTTTTCCCGTGGGTGTCGTAAGAGGCGACTAAGAGAACTTAATAGATCGAGAGATGAGTAGTGTCCCACTTAAAATATCTCCAAAGCCTAACTGCGATTGCTAATCCGCCTGCCACGCGTGGCAACTACTGGCAAAACCCCCCTGGCCCCTTTATGAGGGAATCCTATGTTCAACAGTGGACAGTTAACTGTTGATATGGACATGAAATGGCAGAGCACCAGATACGAAACGATAATGATAAAATTGTTGGCCCATTGTAATGGATTCCTCAGTAAATTACTAACAGAATTTCCTTGGAACCTGCATGGTAGTTGACTCCATATAAAAATATACGATATATATATATATATATACTAACCCACGACATTCATCAGAGTAGAAATAAGTTTTACATCCTTTACTTGAGAAATTATTGATTACGCATAGAAACTGTCATCCCCTGAAGCGTCTCCCTCTTTTCTTTCCTTCTTTAAATTTTATTTTTGCTACAGAAAATAGCCTATGTCCTTCCCCACGGTCCAATCTATCTCTATGACAAAATACATCAAAATCGGTCTAATAGTTAAGACATGAAAAGGTAAAAGATAGATGGGCATAGTTACTTTTGCATTTGTAATATCAGCATGCATAATTCTAAAACCTTTACGTACTATGTACTAGAATCGTTTAATGTAAAATTTATAGACTTTCGCTGTTGAATCATGACGGGCGTTGGTCTGTGCAATGCAGTACTGTGCACTGTACAGTAGAAAGTGACAGAGTTAGGGTTGCCAGTTGTCAATCATAAATATGAGTTTTATCAGATATCTATTTAAATCATTTATTTGTTATACATTAGGTCATTATAGCCTGTAATAATGAAAATTTTTATTATTATAATAATAAAACAATATTAAATAATCCGGGTGCAAATGTATTAGTTTCGCTTCCCATTGTTTCTTACTAATAGATCTAGCTTTTTCAGTCCGTTTTGTTCTACTAGTAGAACTAATACGTAGAACAATACAGATATAATCTAGAGTACTAATTATACTTTTTTCATGTAATTATCGCTTTTTATACATTTTTTATAAAATATATAATATGTCTAGACATAAATAAAATTTATAAAAATATTTTTATAATTGTATGTTGACTGTAATTCACGATGAAATCTTTTTATATTATAAATTTTTATACATATATAAAAAGTATAAATTTTTAAATTTACTTTAACCATAATATGTGTAATAAATCTTTATTTTTGTTACAGTTAATTTTATTTTTTCTTATAAATTTACTAAGAAAAATATTATTTTTTGTTTAATTCGAATTTTTTACAATTTAAACAATAGAGATGTAAATAATTATTATTGTTTCTTATTATTTTATTAAATACTTTGTTTTATTTTTATTTATTTCAGTTTTTTTTTTTTTTACAATATCAAAAATGATTGCGTAGATAATTCTCAATATTATATATAGATAATTATTATTATTGCAGTGTGAAGAGTTTGTATGTCTGTTTGTAAATTCAATCTTAAACGCAGCAACAGTAGAGAGCTGTAGATGTGATTTTAATTTCAACTATTAAAAGGCCATGAGTGGGCATCTGTAATAACTAAAAATAGGGCTGTTGTAAATTGTTAGAAAGCATAATATCATTATGGGACCGGTTCCCATGTAGGTACTTCATGAAAATCGTTAAGTTTTTTTTTTTTAATAATAAATCATCTACCGAACTATAAAATTACCTCATACAGTTAAATATAGTGCGTCCACTGAGCATAGGCTTCCTCTATAGGCCGCCATAAAGAACAGTCCTAATCCACCTGCATCCATCGACTCTCTGTAATGTATTTGAGGTCTTCACTCCATCTAGATGGAGGTCGTTCTACACTGCGTTTGCCCGTACAGGGTCACCATTTAAAAACCTTTCTTCCACTACTTTCTAATACTGGAGGAAAAGGGATTGTTAGTAATGAGGTCTAATAGGCTATTATATTTACTCTCTCAGATCGACCTCCACGCGATTCCCCCTGAAAACCACCACGGTTAATTGTTGTCGAATTCATCATGGTGGGCTAACTAACCTGCATTCATTCTCACCTATCATCTTGCACTGGTGCCTGGTCGGTATATACCGATAGCGCGGGCAGCGTTACCATTCTATTTTCACCCATTAAAAAAAAAACTTTGCTGATGCTTGTGATGGTTCATTTTTTTACTTATTGCATTTATATTTTTATACTACAAAATTGACAAACAGACACGCATATTTACGTAAAGAATTGTGATTTTTTTTTATACAACTTAGAATGACAAACAAGTTGACGGCCCACCTGATGGAAAGTGGCAACCGTCGCCTATAGACATGAGCAGTACCATGGACATAACACAGTATACTGTTTCGCCCGTGATACTCCCCATGCGTTGCCATTCCTGAGGACACAGGCGTTGTTCCTCCGTACCCAGTAAATTCACGCCATATCCCACCCTTCAAACCGATACACAGCCATGCAAACACAACTGCTTTATGGTTGAAACACGAATGGGACAGAGGCGGGTGCCTCTGTCCCATTCGTGTTTCAACCAGCAAAAAGCAATCGACTACAGATGAAACATCAGAACCATTATAAGCACAATATTCCTGTAAAAAAATCTACTTTAACTACATAGCACTAACACGCATTCAAATATAGTAAAAAAAAAAACAAAATTACGATTAATTAATTTTGAATTCACAATGACATCGCATTAATACCTCCACAAAAAGTACACACAAAAAAATACTTCCGCATTGAAATCAAGGGGATCTTATTAAAAGTTAAAAATAAGCAAATAAATAAAAGGAATACGTCTCAGAAATAACTGTACATTACATATATATTTTACAATCTGTTACGTGACATTAATTTACTGCAGATGAGAATACCGGAATTCTTTGCAAATAATTTCCAAGGAAACCATTCACAATGCGATATTGTTTTGTTCTCAAAATTACGGACGCGAATCATCATAAAATACAATTTACAAAATATGAGTTACATGACAGATCAACATAATTTTATTACTTCCATCATTCTACTCCATTAATTTGACAGCTCACTTGATGGAAAATGACAGCTGTTGTGCTGTCATAAACAAATTTACTCAATAATGACAAAGGTACAATGTAATCCTTTTTTAATACAATTATTTGGTCGATGGACAACCCTGGGTGGTCCCTGTCGATAGAAATTATAACATTATCAAGCTATACCTATACATGGTGCATACAGGGTATATGAGTATTGCGTTAGACTGATTGCATTAAATTAACAATTATAATCAACTAGTTTTTAACCGGGAATTCATTTGGATGACCGGGATTATAATAGCTTACGACCTTCTCCATTCCAAATATGGTTGATTAAGCAGGTAAACTACCAAACAGTAACAAACAAATAAAGATACACATTTATAATATTAATGAGCTTACTTAATGTAACGTTCCACTGCTAAGAACAGTTCTCTCTCATAAGTCGATGATTATAACTTATATCACACCGAATTGTCTGAATTTTTTTCAGGTCATAATCTTCTAAGATGTTAAGCCAAGCCCGATGGTTGATGATAGTGGTGGCCGCCGCTCTGGCGCTGCAGACCCAAGGCGAAGGTGGGATCAGATTACCTGATCAGCCTCCAAAGGAAGAAGCAGAAGGAAGATCTTTGAACTTTGGAGGAGATCATAGCAGATCGGTAAAGATCATAGCTGATATTTTTATTTTGTTGCCCGTATGACAGATTAATCAATTCTATTAATGCTATTATATCACAAAGGTGTCAAATAAACAAACCCCTCTGTTTTAGTAGACAAACTTTGTTGCTTTAATTGGAACATCAGGGGTAATTACCAGGTCCCCGTTGCAAATCCCGAAGAAACCATATGGTGTCTTCTAACTAATATTAGTTAACTCTAATATAGTCTCTAGAAAATATTTTCTTATCCATATGATTTACCATATAGTGCAAGTAAAAGAATAGATCAGAATCTTAATGCTTACTCTGTCGTATGTAAAGGAAAAGGAAATTTCTTCAAGACAAGAGAATAATCTTCTAAAACTACAATTATTATATAAATAATTATAATACTATAAGAAAATAAATAATTATAAAACTACAAGTATTATTTAAAAAAAGCAAATAAAGCTATCTCAATGCCTACTCAGCCTACAGTTAAGCTAAAGAATTGCCCACCCTAAGACAATCCTTTAGCGTAAAATATACTTACTATTGTTATCTTAAAATTGAAATTCGAATTTATTGTCTTCAGCCTCAAGCTCAGGGACGAGGTCTACTAGACTGGCTAGGTCTCGGCGAGGACCAAGATCCGTACATTCAACAAGCTACCCAGCAATGCATCAATGGTGACCTGGCCGATTGCTTCAAAGCACAAGCACTAAGGTCTTTTGATGACTTCTTCGATAAACAAGCATACAAGTAAGTATCAATATCAATATGGTTTAATCGGAGTAAAGAATCTACACAAATAAAAAAAACATATCTGAGCATGAATCACAAAATCGATTAACCGATTAGACAGATTTTGATAGAGTTTTTTGTAGCATTAACTCAGCCCCTAATTCAGCATATAGCATACTTTCCCCTGTGGCAAACTATCTCGATCCATATCTATAGAAAAATAGAAGAATTCACCATATTGCGAACCAGCAAGAGACTTTATACAAAAGTCGTCTACTTGGGTACCTTTGCCCCGTTCTTGTTTCTCTCGTGAAGCAGTTGTTTGCATGGCTGCGTTTGGACTTGAAAGATGAGATTTGGTAATGAAATTACAGGGTACAGAGGCATAACAACCTTAGTCCTCAGTAATAGCTACGCATGAAGGGCAACACATACTTTACTGTGTCCAGGGTGCTATCTATAGGCGATAGTAACTACTTTCCATCAGGTCGGCCGTCAGCTTGTTTGCCATTATAAATTGTACTAAAAAAATACAGACGTTATTGTAATCACAGCTAACCCTCTAGACAAATAGTAAACGAATTCATCTATAGTTATTACAATAGAGTTATTAGGATAAAGACATCGAACGTCACTACTTTATTCCATCCCATGAACTCACTAGTAATACGACACCCTCGATTGATTCATTGTCTTTTCATTATCATGAACAAGTCATTGACTTGTCTAGGGGGACCTGATATCTTATAAAACAGTCTTCTAACGCAGTCTATCTAGTTTGTGCTTAAATTATTCAAAATAAAAAAAAAACAATGAGATATAAGTACATAATGCAGACAATTTTTCTACAATCTCCCTCTGATTTTAATTTATTCTTCATATAAAATGGAATAACACAATATTTTTTTTATGATATGTGAAAAAAAATCTGTTTGATTGTCCAGTACTAAAACGAGATTTTTTTAAAAATCAATTTCAATAAATAGACTTCTACCAGCGCAATGCCACTATTGAGTGAAACAGTTTTTTTTTTTTTTATTCCATCTTTTTAAAACATTTTATTGACAAAACTACATTTATTAATTGAAACTATTTTGGAAGGATTGCGGATTTCCGGCAAAGGAAATGGAGTTCCTATTTTAGTTACTGAATGGCCAAAGAGGAGTTTTATTTTTAGTACAAAACGTTTAGTTTCATTCACATTAAATAAAGTGAGTTTTGTATATGCCAAAGATATAGCATAAGATAAAATACTTTTCTTAACATTGTATTTTGGACGAGAACTAAATATTTTTCAATAGAAAAATGAGTCTATAAACAACAATATAACGTTAGTTATACATAGACGAAGGATGAATCCATTCATTTTTTATTTCATTCAACCCAAAGATTCTAACTCTTTTCCAGGCAGGAAGAGAGAACACTGGGCTTATTTCAAATCCTTAAAATATTCGTGTAATATTAGTGCAATAAAAAAGTGTTAAATAAATAAATACCTACGGTATTCTACGAACTCACATAGGTATGGGGTGCACAAAATATTTAGGAATTATCAAATATTAAGCGACATAGATCAATCATTAAATTATCAGGTCATTATGCTCGCATAATATCATCGTCATCAAAACAGGCATTATCTGTCTCCTGCTAAACATAGGCCTCCCTCTATTGGGATGTTTAACCAATAGTTGTCATGCTTGGCTGGCGGGATGGCAACCACAGTTAGGCTTTGATGATGTTTAAAGAAGGACGCTGTTGCCCATCCCTCGACCACTAAATTCCCTTCGTCGCCTCTTACGACACCCACAGGAAAGGAAAGAATGGCCCATTCTTTGCCGGGACCACACTGGTATAATACGTATCATAAAATATTTAACACATTTTTTTAATCCTTTCAGACTCTCGGAAAATGCTGTACTAGTCAAAGTGGAGTCACAAGCCAGGGCGTTATCTCATGAACCACCAGAGCTCTCATCGCAGCCCCGCAGCGAAGATTCAGATTGGGACGCTCTTGTGAAATATGGAATGAGGAAAATTGAAAGGTGAGTAAACAGTAGATTCCACCACTGTGTCCTTGATAATATTATAAATGATCACCAGAGGGAGACTTTGTACAAAAGTCGTTTGCTTGTGTACCTCTGTCCCATTCGTGTTTCTACCGTGAAACAGTTATGTTTGTATGGCTGTGTTTCGATTTAAAAGGTGGGATATGACAATGAATTTACAGAGTACAATAACATCTGTGTCCTCAGGAATGGCAACGCATGGGGAGTATTATGGGCGAAACAGTATACTCTGTTATGTTCACAATGCTGCTCATGTCTATAGGCGACGGTTACCACTTTTCATCAGGTGGGCTGTCAGCTTGTTTGCCATTCTAAGTTGTATAAAAAAAATGAGGAGGTGATTTTTCTGTGAAATTTGTCATGAAATTTTTGTATTTGGGATGAAGAAGGCCTAAGTTAGTCTATAAAGTATCTATGTATATAAGTCTCTATGTACTAAACTAGGATATATCCTACTAGTATTCCAAATAGCATTCAAATCTGTTCAGCCTTAACCGTAATCAACATTTAAATACTTTACAAACTGTCACATTCATAAAATTTGTAAGACAATGAAAACATCACTTAGTTCAAGACGATGCCCAAATGGCTTAAAATTTTTATGATATTATATTATTGCAATTCGAAACGAGAAAAATTGAACTCTATACTGACAATTTAAAGTATAATTCAACTTGTAAATTGATTAATACCCACTGAGCCTATTTAAAAACGGCAACAACAATCCACGTGTTACTGCCAATTATAAACATTAATTTGATATATTAAGTGACTCCAATTTGTTCGACTCTGTTTCAACATTTCTCTCATTAATTTGTTTTTCTTGTTTTTCAATATACAATGAAATAGAATAATGTCCTCTTAACGCATTGTTGTACCAGTGAAACTAAATATGTTCCAAATAAATAATAATAAAATAATAATTTATAAATAATATATAATAACAATAAAAATAATTTCACCGATTTCACACACCAAATGGACTGTGCTTTGCAGAGTAGGCCAGAGGCCACAAATAGCTCTGCCGGTGCAGCCGTAACAACCACCACATGTTCAATTAATAAAGATAAGATAAGATAGTGGTCAGATAAGGAACTGAAAGAACTTAATAACTTATAGAGTTTTTAATAACTTATAGAGCGAAATATGAAGCTGTAGGATATATCAATTTGGGGCAGATTGTCTGAGAAAACCGGCAAGTTAGCCAAGAATGAAGTACATATAATAATATATAAAATAATAAAAAAATATGATATAAATAAATATGTTCCATTAACAGTAGAACCAACCCTAGAGGACGGCTTATATATTTTATTTTCAGTTTATGTTTAACTCACTTTAGGTTCTACCACTGCTGAACATAAGTCTCCTCCTTAGGAGGTCTTGCCAGTAGTCGCTACGCTTGGCAGAATTGGCAACCGCAGTTAGGCTTTGGATATGTTTTATGAGCTACGCTGCTACCTATTCCTTAGCCTCCCTTAGTCTCTTACAATACCCACGAGAAATAAAGGGGTGGCCTATTATATGCCAGGACCACCAATGTGTCTATAGATGACGCATATTTTTAGTTTGTGACTATTAGGAATCGTTTTACGCGCGTATAATATAGACAGTAGGGGGAAAAGGGATTGTTAGTAATAGAGACTGAAAATCCCATTGCTAGCAATATACCCAACCAGGTCGACCTCCACGCGGTTCTCCCTGGAAACTATCATTGTTAATTCCTGATGAATTCATCATGATGGGCTAACTGGCCTGTTTTCATTCTCATCGATCACCCTTTATTGGTGCTCCGCCAGCGTATCCCGTTAGCGCAGGCGGGGTTACCAATCCATTGGCAGTAATTGATTCATGATATTACCATTAAACACCTATTTTTTCATCAGTTTGATGAAACTTAAACATACACTTCTTCATATACGAGGGGAAAGAGATTGTTAGTGACGGGTCGAACAGGCGAATTGCTAACAATATCAGGTTGACCTCCCTGCGCTGTCCATTGGAAACCATCGTGGTTAATTCTTATGGAATTCTTTCTAATGGGCTAATGGACCTACTTTCATCCTCATCTATCATCTCTTACTAGTACACCGCCAAAGTATACCAATAACGCTAGCGAGGACTATTCATTCTCACTCATTAAAAAAATCTGCTTCATGTATGAAGCAAATTTTTTATTAGTGTAATTTTTTTTTATAGTATAGTTTTTTTTAACGGACGACAATAGAATGGTTACCCTGCCTGCGCTAACGGTATAAACTGGCGGGGCACCAGTGAGTGATGATAGATGAGAATGAAAAAGCAGGTCAGCTACCCCATCGTGATGTATACACCTGGATTTCAATATGATGGTTTCCAGCTGGGACCACGTGTAAGTCGACCTTGTTGGGCATATTGCTAACAACGGGACTGGTAGTACGCATTACTAATAATCCCCCTCCCACTATAATAAAGTTATACACATACTTACATATAATTAAGCAACAAGGAAACATCATGTATTCAAATTTCTCACAAGAATATCACATTAATGCTATTTACTGCTAATTCTCTCTTAATTAGTTTGTAATTCTACGTGTTAAAAGGATAAATTGCCTTCACAAGGCAGAATAATGGGCAATTTTAATGAAAATAATAATAATTAAATGGCTGCGACCATATACTTGCACAATTATAGGCGCAAGTGTTACAGGCGTGACGTCATTTTTCAACCAACTTCAAAAAGAAGGAGATTCAATTCAGTTTTATTTTAAGGCTAATCTTAAATCGATTTTTAAAATTATTTTTTTTATATCAAAGTATATACTTATAGTTTAACCTCATAGAGATATTATTAAAATAAGTTCAGTAGTTTTGTTTTTAAATCATAATAACAGATATTAAACAAAATAATTTCGTTTAAAATCTAAATCAGTATTTTTTGTAGGGCGCATTCTTTAATTAGTTACGTATAAGATAAGATAAGATAAAGATGTATTTATTTAACAAAGTATATTTAAATAAGTACAGAATTTATCATTGATTCCTACATTAGGCTGAGCCTGTCCTGTAGGAAACAGAATTCATGATATCATACACATAGCATACAGAGATTATACATAGGCTTTTTAGTAATACTGACTAAGAGACTTGCAAAACTATTTATTGATACTAAACCTTTTCATAAATAGGATTATTTTTAAACAACTTTCAAATAAAAGAGGTTCTTTATTCATCTCGTTTTTTTAGACTCTCTGAAGCGTTGTAACCACGAATTTTTGCATCAGTTTTTTTTTTTTATAATCATTAAGATTTACTCCTGTGTTAGCCCCGTGTTTTTTCATTCTACTCATTTTTCTTTGTTAAATAAAAACTGCTCGCTGCAAAGTCTACATGTAAATTCACAATTCCGCATTCTAAATTTGAATTACGATCTTAAGTAGATATCTATGAAACACGTCACAGTAAATTAGTGTGTTTCATGATGATTGATGGCCGTGTGGTCCCGGCATAGATTAAGCCACCCCTTCCTTTCTCGTCGGTGTCATAAAAGTCGACTAAAGAAGAGCGCGGGATGGACAGTAGCATCCCTCTTAAAACATCTCTAAAGCTTGATTGCGATTGCCAGTCCGCTTGCCAAATGTGGCAACTACTGGCAAGACCCCCCAAGGGGGAGGCTTATGTTCAGCAGTGGACAGTTAAAGGCTGATATAATGAAGATGATAGAACTCACTTGATAGAAGTACAAAATGTTTATTTATTTATTGTTATGTTTTCTTCCATAGATTCCTGAGATCAACCGCACTGGAGATGCAATTGGATGACGAGGTGACGTCACGAGGCATCATCGCGCCCCGTTTTATAGACGAAATCGCCGACGAAGTAGATATAATTGAAGATAAAAAAGCACCTCCTTTCCGTAAGTATTTAGAAAAGAAAAAAAGAACAAGTATTTGTTTCAACAAGTACTCACAAATTTCTACATGACTTTACTATTTATTTATTTATTATTAAAAGAATTTAATAGTCGAGGGACGGATAATAGAGTCTCACTTAAATATCATCAAAATTCTAACTGCTGTTGCCAACACGCTTGCCAAGCGTGACAACTATTGGCAACCCTCGCTTATGAAGGAGGCTTATATTCAGCAGTGGACAGTTAACGACTGATGTGATAAAAAAAATACAAATAAAAATACAGATGAATTGAGTGTCTCCTTCTTTTGTACTTTTATAAAAAATTACACAAGTATGAATCAATAGTAAATCCAACGCTAGCTAATTATATTTTTTTCTTCAATGTTACTATTTCCAGGCCGTCACAAACTGAAGAAGCTGATCATCCCCATGCTACTGATACTGAAGCTGTTCAAGCTGAAGCTCCTCCTGTTTTTGCCCCTCATCCTCGGCCTGGCCAGCTTCAAGAAGTTCTTGGGATTCATGGCCCTTATTATTCCAGGTATGTTTAATAGTAATACTACAGTGCCATCTATGCCCAAACCACAGATAATACTATACTAGTCCAAACTTAAAATATCTTGGATAAAGTACTATATAACTAACAGACATACTGAAACATTTTTTGAAAATTTATATTACACATAGACCGATACAAATAGAAATTATATTTTTATTTGTTCATCACGTTGCACTGTCAATTATATTTTTTGTTATTCCAGCCTATAGTCAACTGGTAGATAATGTCATATGGTGTTTACTTCATCATTTATATTATCTAGATGATACTCTCTATCTAGATCATCATCATCATATCAGCCTTTAACTGTCCACTGTTGAACATAAGCCTCTCCCTTGGGGGTCTTGCCAGTAGTTGCCACGCTTGGCAGGCGGATTGACAACCGCAGTCAGGCTTTAGAGATGTTTTAGAGGGACGTTGCCACACATCCCTCACCCTCCCTTAGTCGGCTCTTAAGGCACCCACAGGAAATCTAGATGTATTGAAATTTAATAACAAAATAAATTACTATAGATATTTATTCTTTAATACGAACGAATCAACGACAATCAAACCATAAACAAATCCGTAGGCATAAGATCATAAAGCAAACTAAAGACGATTGGAATAAAAAAAAATGCATTGTACAAAAAAGGTTTTGGGCACAATATCCTTAACAAGGATACTACGTGACTTTGACCGTGCGAAATCTGTACGTCCCATTTTCGTAGAAATTTCTGAAAACCCTTTCTCAGCAAATACATGAAAAAGGAGACCGTTTATATTTAAAATATTTATGATAAATTATTCCGAATATATCCTGATTGATCAATATATGATGTACCTGCCTATTCTGTTTTATAAATGTTGGTATAGAAAAATGCTTTAACACTCGGTGCTCTCTGTCTACCTTCAAATAATCCAACTTGAAGATAATCGTAATAAATTTATATTATTATAAATAATCTTTTTAATAATCCTTTTTGGAACCAACAAAAAAACTTTTTGTTACAAAAGTAGGGTAGTGTGCAATAACAGCCACATTTTTTTTGTGGGTGAAAATGGTATGGTAACCCCGCCTACGCTAACGGGATACGCTGGCGGAGCACCAGTGAAGGGTGATAGATGAGAATGAAAATAGGTCAGTTAGCCCATCATGAATTCATCAGGAATTAACCATGATAGTTTCCAGAGACAACCGCGAGGAGGTCGACCTGGTTGGGTGTATTGCTAGCAATGGGATTCTCAGCCTGCATTACTAACAATCCGTTTCCCCCCTAGCAGCCACATTAGTTAAAAACTGAATCGTGACAATCAACGCCCACCTCCTCACTCAAAGCAAAGGCGCTAAATGTAAAAAAAAAATTGAGAATATTTAGATAGATGGATGTTTATTACTCTTTCATGCAAAAACTACTGAATGGATTTGAATTGAAAGTACACGAGTATGTTATATTCTAATTTATCACATAGGATACTTTATATACTAATTCATACAGATGAAGCTGCGGGATATAGCTAGTTAGTAATAATACAAACACATGTTTCGTGCTCAAAATCCAGAAACGAACATGCGAAAAGAACTCAGAACGCCCACTCACGTAACGTTAGTAAAATTCATGGTATCAAAACTTATTGTTTCCAGGGGTTATCGGATACTTCAAGTTCTGCAAACCAAACTTGACCTCACCCTTCTCTTCGAGTCACTACAACGGCCCCCAGTACTCCCCCGCTGGCATCGGCCTCGGTCCCTACAGGGAGGTTCATGCGCCATCCCACTATGGGCATTATGATAACTATCAGGTAAGTTAAAAATAGCATGGCAATTGAAGCATATAAGGAAAAAATGAAAAATTTATTGGTAGTTTATTACACGCTGAATCGTGATTCTTGGCGTATTACGATATACTTTAGCTTTTTCCTGCTTTAAAAATTTCTCTAATTAAAACTCGTAATTTCCTATTTGAGTTATATTAAATTTACTCCCACAATTAAATCTCATCAAAGTAAATAGAACGAGATAATCGACAAACGGTTTTCTAATAAGGATAAGTTATACATGCGTCATTATTATTAATAAATTACCGCAAGGCCTCTTTACCATTTCTCGACTAATATTCCATTGATTTTACAATTTTAGAAAAACAAGTTTAAACTAAACTTAAAGTTAAAATTAAACTACTATTTGAAAAAATAGTTTAAGCACCTTTCTTCACAGTGTATGTTTATAGTGCAATAAATATACATATATATATAAGTTGCGGCCATTCTCTAAAATCCTCTTTTGACCAACCTCTTACAAATTTATTTAAATTCGATCATTAATCAAGATCATCGTCGTCTTCGTCACTGTCATTATAATTATCATTATTATTAACATCATCATCATTATCAATATGCCATGACTTATGTTTGTCTTTTCTTTTTAGCAAGGACACAAGTACGGCTCTGGCGGTCACGGTTCCGGAGGAATATCCTTCAGGGAACATGACGTAAACCCTCAAGATTTAGCGTACCAAGGTTGGGAGTATAGGAACAAAAAGAATGAAGACATCAAAGCAGAGGAAGCTTAAGACTGAACTATTGGATATTTATTTTTAGAATTTGTGACTGACGAATTATTCGGTGAGCAGCAATAATTTTAACGAATTTTCTAACAACTTGCAATGTTTGTTAGTTTATTTAGATTCAATTAAGGGTTCAACCTCTTTACTGATTTTTATGAAATTCTGTATACGCTTTTAGTTCTTAATATACAATCTGCAATACTCAATATTGTAAAATTAATTGTTATTAATTAATTTATGTATTTAACATAAAACACATAAAACGCTCAGAAAACAATTGTAACTAGTTGCAGGATGCGGAAAACAGTTACATTTAAAATACCTGAAATGACTATGACTTGAGAGACAGAGATGGTTACTTTCTTAGCTCCAATTAAAAAAAAAGTTAAGAATACTATAATACAAGTGTACAAATATATATTTTAATTATACTACATTACACTTTATTTTTAAATAACTTATATATGTATGATATGTGCCCCATCATTAACAGCCAAACCCACTCAATGTAGGATCTTGAAATAAGATGGTTAGTATATGTAATTTGCGCAAATGTGTATGCAAATGTTATAATGGTAATAAATTAACGCTTATATCCCTTTTTCTTTTAATAATAATTTGTAAACTTGTCGAGTTTCGCAAAATAGCAATAAATTATTTAGAAAATGTCCAGTAATTAAATCACATTATGTTCTATGTATTGTGATTCCTAAACGAACGAATTTGAAAACTGTCAAGTTTCCTTAGATAGTAAATATAATAAATATATAAAAATATTTTTGATTGACAGTTGTCCACCATATTTTATTATGTATGGATTTGTTAGGGTGCGATCTGGAAGGATTTACTATTCGACCTGTCAATATTGGTAGAAAAATATTGTCGTAGGATTTATATACTTTATGGAAACCAATGTTATAAATAAAATTTCTCAATTCGGGTTGCTTCTTCTGAAAGTATTTTTAGCGTGGATCTAAATGTTTTTATCTCACAATAGAAATATTTACCTTAGTTAAGTTTTATTTTGCTTATTGTTATGAAAGCATTTTCTACTATTTTTAGTAGTTTCTAAGATTTTATTTTATATTAAAGTTTTTAAGTTAGTTTTAAAGTATATATAATAATTACTCATACTTTTAAAGTGCCAATCGTTACTACAGTTGATGGACAAAAGCTATACAAGTGTTTCCTGAGAATGCATGTATAATAAATAGAAATAAGAAATAAAATACACCATTGAGAAATAAAAATAATGCTGATTTTCAGTCACATGGCGGAGTCAAGGCCAATTTATGTACCAATAATATTATTAATGTCTCTGACAATCTTATATGTTATAGCCGTAAGGATTTTTTTTCACATGAATTAATTTTAAACTCTATTTTTGATTGCTATAGTAACAATTACCTTAGTTCTAGGACCAGAAAAATATGTACTTTATGTGCTATATTATTTTGATAGTCTAGTACTCTAGTGTGATTCGAGATTATGAATGTTAAATAAAAATATATTTGATACAAGTCACTAATTTATATATTTTGAAATGTAAACGAGTAATTACTATGTAATTTTTCTTAGTATTTGTAGTTATCTAATTAAAATTAATTTATTTCTAAGTTAAATATTTAATTACATTTTTATATCATGGCAATATTTGCTTTGTTTCGATTAATTTTATTGGATAATATAATTGTAACTGTTACTAAGTAATACAATTATTTTAAAAATTTGTTATATAAATATAAATCATATTAGAAGTACGTATCAACAATATCATCATCATTGTCATCACTATGATAGCTACTTCTAATATAATTACGGCACTTATTCGATGTTCCATTGCTAAGAAGAAAGTTGGCTAAGCAAGCTCCCCTACCTCTTGCATTGACACTACTCAATGATATTTTGAGCCAGTATCCACAATTGGATGTATTTGACTCCAACTTGCTGGAATTTCATCGAGTGACCACAGAGTATTTATGTTCAGACTTTTTTTGTTTGAGTTAAATCTTTTTATATTATTCTTGTTATTTATGTGTAATATTCCTTTTTTATATGTTGTTGTACTCATGCTTTCCTGGGTGAGCGTATTGAAAGACTGTAAGACTCACTCGGTAGATGTAATAAATAAATAAATAATAAAATATGTGAATTATATTAAATTTAAATATAATATGTAATAATAATTCTTTAACACCACGTATAGTGGAAAATATAATCAATATGTTGTAAATAAATATGTTACTATTCTCAACTTGTCTGTTTCTTATGGGGAGGGGGGGGGGGGGAGGTGAATACGGGAAGTATACTTCGTCTTCTTCATCGTTCCACCAACTCTTTTAATAAAGAATTTTAATTTCAAGATCTCTCTTATAAATCCCTTTATATCTTGAAAAGTAAATTGACCGAAACACTTATAAGTTTAAAAGTGCCGATTTAGAACTTTTTTTTTATTTACAGCTTTGATACTTACGAGTGAGTATTAGAGTGTTGGATTTGTTAATTATATTTCATGCGCATTTCCATGGAGCTTCATTCATAATAACTCTATATTTAAAATACTGCTATTAGAACTCATTAGGTCTATTTTTGTAAAACAATAATGTATATTATATTAATATTTATAAATGAATATTTGCTGCCATAAATAAAAAAATATGCATTATATTACATTGTACAAAGATCAGAATCGTAGCTAGACTTATGTTTAAGATAGAACTAAAGAACCTTTTGGTAGGGCAGTGGCCATAATTAAGTGACTTCGAAAAAATGAAACTGTCTAATATTCTCGGGCCTTTTATTTTAAGGTAGGGCATTGGGCCCTTTAAAGTAGGTCATTGCCCCTCAATGCTTCCCCTAGCTACGACCATGACGAGGATCGAAATGTTATGTATGTTAAACCGCTACACTATCAAGATATGAGATTTTTTTTTTATTATAAATCTTAGATATTCACACTTGATACTTTGTACAAAAGTCGTTTGCTTGGGCACCTCTGTCCCATTCGTGTTTTTGCCGTGAAGCAGTTGTGTTTACATGGCTGTGTTTCAGTCTAAGAGTAGGATTTACAGGGTACAAAGGAATAACACCTAAGTCCTCTGGAATGGCGACACATGGGGGGTATCAAGGGGGAAACAGTATACTCTGTTATGTCCATGGTACTGCTCATGTCTATAGGCTTTCCATCAGGTGGGCAGTCAGCGTGTTTGCCATTCTAAGTTGCATAAAAAAAAAATTCTAAATATCTCCAAATGATAAAAGTAAAATAGATTGCCAATTCATGTCCGACACACTCTTGGCCAATTTATTTTTTTATATCCACACTAATTTCAAATTAGAAAGAAATTAACAAGCCCGCCGGGAATTCAATTGAGGATAATTAAAAAAGATTCTCTTTAGGACGGTATGCCATTACCGAAACGAATTATTCGATTAAACGACTATTATGGCCTCATCAAAAATATTTAATTATCAATTAGTTGGTACCTTATAAATTTTAAGAGGTCTAAAAAGCATTTTCTGGTTTTCAGTAATTTCGTAAGCATTTATATGCGTAAATGCATAAATTTAGGTGCGTACTTAAAATTTATAACTTTTTTAATTGACGACCTTTGTACATTTTAGAACAACTGCGGTTGCTTATCTGTCTACGCCCCTTTTGGGGAGGCATATGTTCAACAGTGGACAGTGGATGACTGGTATGATGATACTGATGGTGACCTTCGTTCAGTTGGCAGAATGTTTTATAAAGTCTCGGGTTCAAGCCTCGATCGGGTCAATTTAGAAAATGATCTTTTCTGAATATATCATATAATATATGTAATATATGTCTATATGTTGCCAATCCTGAGGACTACGCTATTATTATTCACCTAGTAGTAATTTAAAATTATATTGCATAAAAAACTGGCTTCAGTTGCAGCAAATCAAATTGTTTTATATTAAACACCAAACTACTGCACCAATTTTGATAAAATCTATAGAACTAATCTATATTGTATATCCTTTCTGGTAAAAGAAGAATTTCCCTAATCGATTTATAACTGACGGAGTTATCTTCTATACTTATAATAAATCTGTAGAGAGGTCAATTCTGTACATGAAATATATTTCCAAAATAACTATTAGTGATCGATACTGATGCCAAAAATGCAGTCAGTAAAATTTTTGTCTATCTGTCTGTCTGTCTGAATGTTCGTTATAGAAACAAAAACTACTCGACGGATTTTAACGAAACTTGTACGATAGTACAATATTTCATACCGCCCCAGATAATATAATACTATATATATATATATATATATATATATTCTTTATTGCACTAAAACATACAGTAATAACAAGTAGTTAATAACAATGCCACAATTAGCAATGGCGAACTTATCTCTACAAGAGATTTCTTCCAGTCAACCTAACGCAGTGGCATAGGAAGTAGTGAGTGGGCAGTAATAGTGCTAAACAGAAGTTATATTATATAAAGCTATATTATACCGCTGAGTTATTAGGTTGTCTCTATCCCTAATTTATAGGGCAAGGCAACGTTTGCTGGGCCAGCTGGTATATATATATATATATATATATATATATATATATATATATATATAAATAAAAATTTTACGCTGAGTAAGCGTGTCATTTGGTAAGAGATCAAAACTATTTACATTTTTTTTTATTTTCTTTGTAGGTATGTAAATTAAGGATTCTAGAGAAAGATAAAGTTAGAAATAGATGAACGCAGCCGTCGAATCAGATAGTTTCTAGATAAACAGTCAAATGCGACTCGAGCTCAAGCGTCGAGGTATCCGTACACGAAAATAACTGTGTTTACGGGTTTTGTTTTCTTTAAATATAATTTATAAGTTTATATATACGAGATAAGATTATTTTGATCATTGGAAGCTTAAATGCAAATTATTTTAGCAATCATTCATAATTTTTATGTAAAATTTGAATAAAGTTTTTTTTTTTTAATTAGGATTATTTAAAAATGTATCCCGCAGCTCGCAGGCACATACTGCATATAAGTGTCAAGGATGTGTTTTATACGTGTAGCAAATTTCATTCATATCTGTTTAGTCGTTTAAATGTGATTGAGTAACAAACATACAGACTTGTAACATGTTTGTTGGAGATGATAAACAATCATTATCACCCGACTTTAAAAGGAACGAGGTTCCAAATTCGGTTGTACTTTTATTTTTATGTTTATTACCTAACTAGCAGCCCAACCCAGCTTCGCACGGGTGGACATTTTTACATTTTAAAAAGTAGCCATTAAGGCTGCACACGCGACGGAAGCTTAAAAATGGAGTAATTTCTCCCGTTTTCCCAAAATTTTCCTTCACTGCTCTGCTCCTATTGATCGTAGCGTGATGAAAAGTATACTATAACCTGCCCAGGAGTATGAAGAATATTTGTACCAAAGTTTCGTTAAAATCCATCGAGTAGTTTTTGCTTCTATAACGAACATACAGACAGACAGACAAAAATTTTACTGATTGCATTTTTGGCATCAGTATCGATCACTAATCACCCCCCCCCCCCCATAGTTATTCTGGAAATATATTTCATGTACAGAATTGATCTCTCTACAGATTTATTATAAGTATAGATTATTTACAAAATTGTTAATTACTTACTACAAAATGCTCATAATTTTTGGTAATTGTATTCCATTAAAACATTATCATATAATTTACATTTGAATGTTACCAATACTGCTTTACGTGTGCTTTAACAATGTTACTATCTTTACCTTTATTCAAAAATTCCATTTCATCTAAATCTTCTAATATAAATACATCTTCTCTGTTCTGTTCTCTTTTATTTCTTCTATGGAAATTACTATTCTTCTGTGCTGCTAATCTTTGAAATGGCATTGAATATCGTACTAATTTGCTATTATATTTTCTCTGATTTTTCTTCTGATTTGCTTCAAATTTTGTTTTGTTTTCAACTTTTTTTAATAACTCTTCTTTTACATTACCTTTATCTAATGAATCTATTTTCTTTACTTGAGTTGGTTGTGTTGGTTGAATCGAATTAATGTATAGTTTCCTTCTGCTCTTACTCTTCTTTATTATCTTCTGTATTGTTCTTTTCGGTGATTTTTTTATTTTTCTTTTGCTTTTTTGCTCTACATAATTATTTTTTAGATTCGGCATGAGAAGAATATTTTCTGCTTTATCTATATAAGTTGCATTATATGACGATATCTGAAATAAGATTTAAAGATAAATTTAAAATAGAATTTTCAGAGTAAAACTGACATATAAGTTCATTATATTATTATTATATAAGCTATTAATTATCCTGCTGCTATATGCTGAACTTAGACCTCTCCCTATTGGATGATTTTTTCTAGAAGTTTTCATGCTTGGCAGATGGATTAGCAAACGCAGTTAGGCTTTGTATATGTTTTAGAGAGACGCTGCCGCCCATCCCTATAGAGGGAACCTAATGATCCCTTAGTCGCCTTTTACGACACGCGAAATAAAGGGACCATTCTATGCCGAAACCACACAGCAAATAATATAATACAATTAAATTTATTCAGTTCTTGCAGTGTGAACTATATTTCATAGACCTCTTCTATGTAAAATGGTCAAGACTCTTCAGAATTGGTCTGCATTTTTAAGTTATAAAAGAAATAGAGTGAAATATGTACGGCTAGAGTTAGAGACAAATCAGCGATCTTGAAAAAAAATATACAGTGTCACTTAGGAAGACATAAGTACTGTAACGATATCCAATGCGCCCAAGTCTGTTAAGGCATTTAGAAGTTGGTGGAATAAAGAAGCTCACATATATGCACTCTGAAAGCATTTCCTAAAGAATGGAATTAATTGGTACTGGAATCTCACTGTTTACTCCATAATCTTGAAGTTTAAAATATAAATGTATAGTTGGATAAGTCAACAGATCATTTGTTGACTAATTTCTAGTTATTCATAGTTTATTCTGTCTTAACTTATTTCTCTCTAATATAATGAAATTGTAACTAGATGATATCTGTACATGAGAGGTTTAAGAAAAATTTATATTATGGATTTTATTAAAAGGAACAGAGACAAAAATAAAAACTTTAGGTTTTGTGTGTATATTCATCTGTGTGTTCATTCCGGCATCACGCAATAACTACTGCATAAAATTTTCAGTATTTCTGAAAGGCTCACTTAAAAAAAGAAGTTTTTTCTACCAATGATAGCATATCAACACCATTTAAAAGAAGACTATTGTATTTGTTTTCCTTCTTCTGAAATCCAAGAGATTAATGGCTTTTTGCCCGCTATCCAAAATAGCGGGCAAAAATCTAGGCAACAAAAATTATTTCTCCAACCAAGGAATAGTATCCGAAACACTCTTGACTGGTCGTATTTAAACCATGTCGTCACAGACTCGACTATGTCTCCGAATTGATATTAATTAAACGAAATACTTCATGATAAAAACAAGGCTAATTGGGAATCGGAATAAAGCCGATCAAATTTTATCAATATATAAACATACGCGTAATTGGATCAAATAATATAGTAATGAGAGGCATTCCTCGATAAGTTCTATTATATCGTATCAAATAGGAAACTCCAGCCTGATAATCCTGCTGTCTTAGTCCACCCTAATGATTAAATTAAAAATTACTCAGTGCAACGACGAGCTATGAGAATTATCGATAATCCCAGGCTTATAAGCAGTATCGAACCCTTAAGTCTTAGGAAAGATTTTGCCTCACTCTGTATGTTCTACCGCTTGTACAACGGATTGTGCTCAGAGGAATTGTTCAACATATTGCCCACGGCCACTTTCTAACATCATACAGCTCGCCATCGACAGGGAGTTCACCCACATACCCTACAGCCTAAATGATCGCGTACAACGCGGTTTCAGAGATGTTTTTTCCCACGAACACTCAGGTTATGGAATGAGCTCCCTGCCGAGGTTTTCCCAAGAAACTGCAGCATGGGGTTCTTCAAAAGGGGGATAAAGAGGTTTCTTTAGGGTCACAAACGTTTATAGGCTACGGTAACCGCTTACCATCAGGTGGACCGTATATTTGTTTTCCACCTCAATGGTATAAAAAAATTATGTATCACTAACTTTTACCATCAATTTTGTTTGCGTTATTTGTAGGTACATATCATTTATTAATAATAACATTATTTGTTCAGTAACTATTTTTGCCTACCATTGATTCGTTATATTGATTTGATTGATAGAAGTAAAAAAAAAATATTTTAATTTCGAACAATAAAGTTTAAACCTAATATAAAATCTGCGCCACAAATACGAGTAGTTTAATAAAAAAAATTTAATCATCTTCTTCATTATTTATAATGATCAATGACGTATTATTTCTTATATAATAAATAATAATTTAGAGATTTTGAAATTAAACTTTTTTTTATTTACAATAAAAATTAAATACTTTTAGTAATTAATTGTGAAAATATTGACCTATTGTCCATTTATATATTTATTTCCATCAAAGCGATTTCAGTGAAGTTTGGTCACGCAAACGCTCAAGTTGTAGAATAAACTTCCTACCGAGGTTTTTCCCTCGAGAGTACAGTGTGAGCTTCTTCAAAAAAGCCTAATAAGGGTCGGGAACGCGCACGTGACACCCCTAAAGTTTAGGCGTCTATCGGCTGCGGCAACCATTTATCATCAGACCCATATACTTCTTTACCAACATAATAGTATCAAAAACAAATCTCAACACATTTTTTTATACAGCTTAGAATGGCAAACAGGCCCACCTGATGGAAAATGGTAACTGTCGCCTATAGACTTGAGCAGTACCGTGGACATAACAGAGTATACTGTTTCGCCCATGATACCCTCCATGCGTTGTTATTCCTGAGAACTCAGATGTTATTCCTCTGTACCCTGTAAATTCACGCCATATCCACCCACCTTTCAAACCGAAACACAGCCATGCAAACACAACTGCTTTACAGTTGAAACACGAATAGGACAGAGGTACCCAAGCAAACGACTTTTGTACAAAATCTCCCTCTGGTAAATATTTTATAATATTTTTTATGGTCTCTTTATTAAATTTCACTTACAACTAGAGATTTTGATTTTTCCTTACCGTATTAGTATTTGGTAATGTATGAGTAAATGTTTTATTTTGTTTTCCAGCATAACTGAAGAGTAAACCTGGATCCTAGAAAATTTTTAGACTTTAATATATCTTCTTTTCATAATCAAAACATTGAAAATAAGAAACTACAATGTAATATAGCATATAAGTTGCAGTACTCAGATAAAATACCAAAAATAAAGTAATTTATTTTTATCGTCGGTAATTTGTTAACATTAAAATGTCTATAAAAATCCCGCAAAATTGCAAAAACGTTACGATTACATTTTCTTAGTGCCTCGAAGGTTTAAATTTATCGTTTCACCAAAACAAGCATTCTTTTTATTATTATTCTTATACGAGTAATCTAGCTCTCAACTAACTCAGAGCCATTTTTCTCCAAGTTAACTCTTATTAAAAATCACTCAAAACTTTGAATTTTTTTGTAATTTTTGCGAATAGTGTGTATACATATATACTAGCTTTTACCCGCGACTTCGTCTATGTGATCGGGATATATTTACTGACCGGGATAAAAAAACAACCTATAACCTTCTCCACCCCTTTTAGTAGATGTATAGCAAATTTTATAGGTGTTGATTCGACATAATATAACAAACAAACTCACATTCACATTTATAATATTAGTATATATATATATATATATATATATATATATATATATATATATATATACTATGGGGTCACGTGCGAAGCAGAAGCAGGTCATTATCTTATATTCGCATATGGGGTCAGCTAAGCCGTTGCACGTCGACCCATCGGGATCTATTGTGCTCCCCCCTGCCTTATACCATCATTTCATAGATCCTATGTGTTGCCTTAACGATATCCCGCGGTTTAAGATATTTGTAGTCCCCTGGCTCTGATCAGCAGAGCAGGTCATTACTGTGATTTAAATAAATATTCGAAAATATATGGGAATCCATAACATTATATTCTCTTGCAATCGGATAAAATAAAACACATACCTGTTTAGAATCTAAAGCTGTGGCAAATCCCAATATATTAATTATGATAGTAATATATAAAAATAAAATATTTAGCATTTTACCGATTGCAAATATCAAAGAAGAACCAGATCCAACAATGGAATGAGCATTAAAAACGATATCTTTTATAAAGCGTACTAGAAACATTTTATGGCAACTAGAAATGAAAACACCATTGTTTCGCAAACTAGTGGGGAATGTTTTTAAAAAATACAATGAATGTGAAATTGCACGGGTTTGAATTCCTTTTTCTTTACTCTGAATTATTAAATAGCTTTTGCAGATTATGTGCACAGTTTAATTCGAGTATTTTCTTAATACATCTAACTAATTTATTTATTTATTTGTTATTATAAATTTATTATAAGAAATATTTAAAAAAATCCACTCAGGGTTTGCTGGAAGAGAACCCTTACAGAGTTAAGCTCGCCTGTTGTACATCTTTATTTTATATATATTATATGTTGTAATTTTTTATGTACAATAAAGAATAAACAAATAAATAAATAAAATTTTAATAAATTAACAGTGTAAGAGAACAAAGATGTGATTAATTACGTTAAAAAGACGAATTTATTGTAAACTGATAAAGCAATGATTGAAAATGTTCTGCAGCGGAGAAATCAAGGAATAATGTTAAAATGTTTTCGAAGGTAATTTTAATACAGCTGTTTTTTTTAAGCTCCATACGTCCGGAAGAAGAATGTTCTCAATTCATCTGAATATTTTTGCAACTATTCTACACGCTTCTACATCATCATCATCCTCTCAGCCTTTATCTCTCTACTGGTGACCATAAGCCTCCACCATAAGGGTTTTGCCAATAGTTTTGCTTGGCAATCAGGTGGGCAATCACAGTTAGGCTTTGGTGCTGTATTCAGAGGGACGTTGCTACCCATCTCTCGGCCATCAAATTACCTCACTCGTCTCATACGACAACCACGAGACAGTAAGTTGCGGGCTGTCTATGCCGACACCACACAGTGTTTTTTACAGTAGACAGTGTCTATTGCTATATTGGTGCCTTATTAAATTTCGGACAATTTGGACTGCCATTTTTTTTGTAGAGCAAAGAACTGTCAATAAATAAGAGCACAATAACTAATAATTATAAATTATATCATTCGTCACAGCGCCATCTGTTTTAAAACTAAACGAAGATTGTACTAGTATCCATAGACATCCGATAGATAATTTTATATTTTATATATATAAAGAACTCTTGTACAAAACTGCACTTTCTAGATTTTGCATTTGTAAATAAAATTTTTACAATATTTCCATTTAGATTAAATGTACAGTTAGTTATCGAAGTTGGCTGTTATTTCCTTTGTATATATAAGTAACTACATAAAATAAAATAAAATTGAAATATTAAATAATATTTATTTATTATAATAATGCATTAATGTACATAATATAGAGTTGTTAGAATGTTATTAGAGTAAGTACACGAACCCTGTTTGGGTGTAGCAAAGTTATATTGATAGGTAGCTAATATACATGCATTAATGTCAATTTAGACGATGATTTAAATATCCACAGAGTGATCTGAAATAAACAAACATCAGTAGTTTTTGAGTTTATCATAATGGATAAACTCAAAAACTACTCAAACAATTTTAATAATTCTTTCACCTATACAAAGCTATTGTATCAGCGAATAGCATAGGCTATATACTATGTTTGAAAATCTTATCAATTTGTACGAAGCCGAGTCTGATTACTAATTGTTGAAAATATTAATTTCTAGTAGACGTGATAGAGTTATCCCTATCATATTTGATTGCATTATCATACGAGAATAGGGTGTCACTATAAGACATTCTCTATTAGACATTCTCTATTAGAATTTAGACATTTTTGTTTGTATTTTTAATTATGCTGTTCCTGATGTTCATGCTGTTCATTTATGTAATAATTTACGTGTAATTAAATCGAAAAAATCAACTAGTTTCAGATTTAATTCACAGCCGCTCAAGATTAAGGATCACGAATTGATCCCGAAACTAGTCGATCTTTCTCAATCTAATTACACGTAAGTATGTGTTCTTACCAAACTGTTCATTTATATTAACAAAATTCAAATGAATTGGTAACCTCCTTTTTTTAGAACACATTTAAAATTTGAAAATAGAACGCACTTAGAAAAAATAATCAATGTACCATATTATTTTTATGTTCACAGATTGTAATATCAATTGTGATACTGATTTATGCACTAAACATGGTACAAGCATCTACAGTGATAGACAGTTTGAGTCAAAAAGGTATTTACATATCGGATTACTGTCCGAAAATGAAATATTGTGAGGAGGGCTCCCACGTTATGTGTATGTACTACAATCCAGTAAGTATTTATTTATTTATTTAACTCTTTATTGCACCATAAATAAAAATATACAATGACAAGTGAATAATTCAAGTGAAATACAGTAACATAAATACAGATTGAAATATACACATAAAGGTACAAAAGGCGGTCTTATCGCTAGGGCAATCTCTTACAGACAACCTTTGATTAAAGGAGAACAGATAGAAAAGGGCAGGTGGCGCAAGAGTGAATTAATATTTTTTTGTGCATAAAATACAAAAACCTGTAATGCACAAAAATATCAAATACATATAATTTATTAAACTACTTACTATAACATTATCAACTTATTTCGTCAAAATTATATGAAAAACAAAGTTTTTTTTTTTTACGTATCATTTTGATATTTTTTTCTGCCTATGAAATCTCCTTAAATTATACTAGTATAGATAGAGTGTCTCCATACAAATACTTCGAGAAAAGCGGATCAACTTTTTCATACAATTTTGCGTGATAAATAGTTACGAGTGTTTCCATTATAACTTCTATATTTATTTTGTTTTATAATTTTTGCATATTTTTAATGCATAAAAACTCATTTTGTTTATTAAATAATTAAATATAGATACGTCAAGACACATTATGTGTGTAAGTATATAGTACACTGATAAAAAAACGAGTCGGCAAATTTGACAATTGGCTGACAAAAAGTTGGCCCGTTTTTGAGATTGGATGCTCTATCTATATAATCTAAGGATACGGAATGCAATTTAAATCGACATTTCTACGAAATATTGCAGGACCAAATTATGGGCCCTCGCTGCAGCAGAGCGTATAACGTGTCCATAACACCGGATCTGGCTAACAAGCTGCTAGAAGTGTCGAACGCGTAAGTTTTATTTCCAATTAATATTTCAACTTTGCAACGCTGCGAAGAAAACCACGTTAAAAAATAGTACAGACATGTAACTACGTAAAAAAGCGACTTCAATCGTAAACGTGTCTTCACACAGACATTAGACTATATAGATAGAGCAGAGTAAAAAACAAAGCGAAATTTAGTCAGCTAAACGTCTAATTGAAATTGTCCCATTTTTTTTCAGCTAAAATAATATGCGTACTTTATCAGTGTTACAAGCAATTGTATTAAAAACTTCGCAGATCAGGTCGATTTATTTTTTATTTTAGTCGGGAACTATTTCTGATATATAAATATATATATGCACAATATTGTTTATAAATTATTTTCATGTTTTAATTAAAATAGCAGCCATGGTTTTATGAATAAAAATATATAGGTATTAAATCTATTCTCATATATAAACAAAAGTATTTTTTATGCAACTTCGAATGAAAAACTGATGACAGCCCATCTGATGGAAACTGATAAGCGTCGTCTATAGGCATGAACAGTACCATAGACATAATAGAGTATATTGTATCTATTGACTTTATGCGTTGTCATTTCTGAGGACTTAGGTATTATGCCACTGTACCCTGTCATTTCAATGCCATATGCCCACCCTTAAAACCGAAATACAGCCATGCAAACACAAGTGCTTCACGGCAGAAACGCGAACAGTAATCAGTGATGACAAGCATCATTATAAAACATTATGCTCTGTTTACTTCGTTATTTCAATATAATCGTAAGTACTTTGTGTTATTTTTATTTTTCAACTTAACCTTATATTAATTTCTTCCATGTATAATATTTTTTTTTTCTACTTAGAATGGCAAACAAGCTGACGGCCCACCTGATGGAAAGGGGTAACCGTCGCCTATAGATATGAGCAGTACCATGGATATAACAGAGTATACTGTTTCGCTCATGATACCCCCCATGCGTTATCATTCCTGAGGACTCAGGTGTTATTCCTCTGTACCCAGTAAATTCACGCCATATCCCACCCTTCAAACCGAAACACAGCCATGCAAACACAACTGCTTCACGGTTGGAACACGAATGGGACAGAGGTACCCAAGCAATCGACTTGTGTACAGTCTCCTCTCTGGTGAATACTTAATAATACATACTTGTATACTGATTCATGCACACATGGATAAAAAATTTGGCCTGTTGTTAGCAAAACTGTTTATATATAATAACTCCATCTATCTAAGAAGGTGGCATGTGTCATTACATTTAGAACAATAAATATTTAAATTTAGAACATATAATCACCTATTTGCATGTGTAGCCTACTTATTATTTATTGAAGTTGCTAGCGGAAGCCCCAAAAAGACTATTACTGAACTATTTATTTTTTAATTAAATTAATTAAAAAATAAAAGATTGTAATAAAAATAAGGTCTACTATTGATCAATCTATCTTTGGAACGGTCTCTCTCGACTGTTAGCAGAAGTAGATGGAGACGCATTGCGACGACCTCAATCGCGAAGGAGGGCCTCATCTTGGCCACTCTGTCAAGAGTGTACGACTGAAGAGAGATTGATCGATCTGTTTTCGTGGTTTGATGCTTACGATATTGATTGAGGGGTATTCACTTGCACCATTTTCCTGAGTCACCTCTTGGATGCTTCAGTACACTGACTGACAAAGTTACAATTAGTTAAGTGACAATTTCCAGATATTGTCTTATTTATAAAATAACATATATTTATAAATTTAATTTCCTTTCTTTTCTTATTTTCCCTTTAAACTTAACCTATTTACTGCTCATGTCTATAGGCGACGGTTACTACTTTCCATAAGGTGGGCCGTCAGCTTATATGTCATTCTAAATTGTTTAAAAATAAAATTATATATTTATTTATTTAACATATTATGTTTATATTTATATAATTCTAATTATATGATTATATTATATACATATATTTAGTATTACTTTATATTTCCTCTATTCAATAATACACCGCCTACTTATTTCTCGGTTTGCCCAATAGTTGACTGGTAGAGAACACTATCCGGTGTTAAATCCGACAAATGTACATAGAATTACACTGTGCATTAAAGTTTAAATAAATAAATATGTAAACATGGGATAGAATCCCATGTTGAATAATAACTATCGTGAGGCATACTATACTGTAATTGTAACCGTGAACCGCGCTCATGAATGAGGGCTCCTAGCAAGTTCGAAACTAGACAAGCATCTCCGAATTTAAAACGTGATTAAAAAATTCATAAGTAAATAATTAATAATGCCATTTCACATTTTTTGCCACAAACTGATTCTTCTGCTTCACAAAGAAAAATAGTAGTTTCAATCGTCTCAGAATTAATATTTTTTTGTGTTGGTTTAACACAAAAAATTATACAAATACAAACAAATACAAACGTATTATAAACAATAAAAATAATAATAGTGAGACAATTTGTCTATAAGTACGTCTATGATGAATTAAACACGTATCGAATTATCCGTGTTCCTAATTTCCAATAAAACAGCTCAGCCAACGGATAAACATTCAATTAATTCTCAATTTCGTTTCATAACAACAAACTCCGATACGAGTCTCGTGATAATCTTCTTACTTGGCACAAATTAAATTAAGAGAGCTCAATAGATTCCCTTTTACAATTTTTTATATCTGATACACATAAATAAGGGAAAAGCTCTTAAAAATTAAAAAGAAAATATCCCCTTATAAGTGGCTTTTATCCAAATTTGGAAGAGGTTCGCAATTCGATTATCTACAGCTATATTCAGGGTTGTCAAAATTAAGAATTAATTTTATAAAGAAAACTCAAAAGTTACATTAATTTTATTTTATATATATATATATATATATATATATATATATATATATATATATATATATATATATATATATATATATATATGCTTTTGTACATTCACTTAGAATATAGATATTTGGTTATACCATAATGTACACTGGCGGGCTTGTCTCTTGAAGGGATTTCTTCCAGTCAACAAAAAAGAGAAAGTATATACAGGGTTTTTATATAAAGCATAACATAAATGGTGCAAAAATAAAACAACTATTATACAAATAACTCATTTGTCAATTGTATTATCATATTATAACTTCCATATTATTTTCATATTTTCGACTTATTGTTTTCCTGAAAATGTGTTAAATACGTAACCCAGCATTTGGAAATACTAAAGTATAATTGATAATAATAATACATTTATAATTTTACTATTTACACTTCTCTTTATAAGTAACAAGAAACAAACACAAAATCTTATCATTCCTTAGAAAACGTTTTATTGTTTAAATAAATTACAAGCTTGCTGTCTATGGTAACTTTGAAAATAGTGGTGTGCCGAGTCAAGCTGACTTGATTACCGACTCGATTACTGACTCGAATACTTAACAGATATTCTAGTACTAGAGTACTCAATATGTAGATTATAGGTTTCGAGGACTCAAATACTAATCTCTTGTTTATAATATTTTTTTATGTCTCAGTTTCAACATGTCATTAATTTTAGCTTAATTACTAACCAAATATTATTAAACGACTGAACATTCATTATCTTTATTAAAATTGAGTTTCAAAAATCTTTTTTTTTATACAACTTAGAATGGCAAACAAGCTGACCTACCTGATGGAAAGTGGTAACCGTCGCCTATAGACATGAGCGTGTACATAGTACCATGGACATGACAGAGTATACTGTTTCGCCCATAATACCCCCCATGCGTTGTCATTCCTGAGGACTCAGGTGTTATTCCTCTGTACCCAGTAAATTCAAGCCATATCTCACCCTTCAAACCGAAACACAGCCATGCAAACACAACTGCTTCACGGTTGAAACACGAATGGGACAAAGGTACCCAAGCAATCGACTTTTGTACAAAGTCTCCCTCTGTATAATAGAATCAAGCAATTGAAAAATTACTTTATTATAATAAAGTGGTTACCTACTCAAATACACAAACAAGTATTGGAATACTCGTTCGAGTCAGAACTGGAATCAGGCTTCGAGTCTTTTTTAATGAGGATCAAAATATTCGAATACCGAAAAAGGCCGACTCAACGCATCGCTACGTGAGGAGTGTCTACTTATTTCAGAACTGGCAAGGGTAAAATCTCTGTCGTCTACCCTGCAGAAGCTGTTTATGTTGTAAAGAAGTAAAATGCTTTCAATAACCTCGAAACTAACTGACCCAATTCTAAAACTTTATTGTTTTTTTTTTAAACAGAATTCTGTATCACATCCTAGTAATATATACATATATATGCATCATCCCTCTTAAAATATCACCATAAGCCAAACTGGGATTGCCAACCTGCCTGCCAAGCGTGGCAAGTACTGGCAAAACTCCTCTTATGGGGGCTATGTTTAGCAGTATACGATATATATATATATATATATATATATATATATATATATATATATATATATATATATATATATATATATATATATATATATATATATATATATATATATATATATATATATATATATATGCATAACTCTTACAGTTTTACTTTGTATCAATTGTTATACACTCTTATACAATGTACAGTACAATAAATTATTTTTTTCTTAAACATGCTTGGAAATGTGAGCATTATTTTAACAATCTTCTTCGAGATAAATCAAAATTGCCATACTGGCCAGATACATGCGGGTAGCGGCCGTCAAAAGTGGCCGCTGCAGTAATGTACTATTAAATAAATGTATAATAGAATGGTAATCCCGCCTTCACTATCGATATACTGTGGGACATCACTAAGTAGTGTTGCCAACCGTCCCGTATTTCGCAGGACGTCCCGTATTTGTTACATAAATTTAAGTGTCCCGCCGGGACAAACCGTGTCCGGTATTTACGAAAATCCTTATGATTCGACTCGAGATTCGACAATCTGACCAATATCCGTAATAATTGCCCGCCGAATTTAATTAAATCCGATTTACTAAATACGTTTAACTACGAATTAGGTTCCTTCTTATAAACATGTCACAATACAGAAAGACGTATAACTTTTTTATGCAACTTAGAATGACAAATAAGCTAACAGCCAACCTGATGGACAGTGATAGTGGTAATTATAATATATAGTATAGTTTTAGGTCTAAATAAAACGAAATAAAACAAAAATGCAGTGAAATTTGTTTAACCCGGATAAAAAGAGAAATCCTGTATTTAAAAATTTCTTAGACGTTTATCATCAAATCTCTAGGTAGTTCCATGGAAAATTAGAATAAATTAATGAATTGAAACCTCTTTATTGTTTTATTCAAAGAATGATACAGATCATAAAGATTACTTAGTTATTTCTAGTTGAATTTCTCACGATGGATTAACAGATCTGTTTTCATCCTCACCTATCTTCCCATAATGGTGTCCCACTAGCGAAACCGATAACGCAATCGAAATTGTTATTCCATTATAATCCATTAAAAAAATAAGAATACGGGCAGTTCGCTATTATTTCCTATGCCTTTACGATACTGAAGAAACTGATAGCAATACGCAAGCTAAACTGTACTCAGTCTCCTTGTACGAGAGTTGGTTTTTATTTAATGCACTGTACGGAGTGACCATTCTAATTATAATAATTGTATTATTCTATGATATGTTTCCACAGAAATTCCCAGTAGAAAGAAAGAAAATATTTTGCGTGGGCAAAGCCTTGAAGCCAGCTGATACATAACAATGTTGGCCTAGATTCATGTTTACTGTTTATTTATTATAGATATACAATAACTAAATAGAACTATTTTGTTTCAGTGTCAGAAGTAAAATCGCCCTAGGCAAGGAAAGGGGCAAAGACGGTGATTATCTCCCGAGGGGCTACGGTATATTCAGATTGGTTTGACTTTCCTAATATTTGTTCTTCTTTTGATTTAGTATAACTCTAGGCGAAGTCACGTTTTTTCGAACTTTATCTGATAAATATGTACATTAACGTTCTGCCAATAAGGCACAATTATAGAAAAAACTGGTAAATATTTTTCACATATGTAGATAAAAAGGCCCTTCATACACGAGCCGCGCTGCCTTGTGCGCCATTTTCATAGACGATACAAACTTGAAAACTATTTGTACTACGCCATATGAAAACCGGCGAACTCGTTACATACGGCGGCGTGACGCGTTCACGAGCCTTACAGAAAGGATAGGAGCGATAAATCAAAATACACTTATATTATATATCCTTGGAAATATACATTTCCAAGGAGCATGGGTCAACGTATTAAAATAATGTTAATGAGATTTGTAGTGCTTTAACCGTAAAGCAGTTGTGTTTGCATGGCTGTGTTTCAATTTGAAGGGTGGGATATGGCGTGAATTTACTGGGTACAGAGGAATAACACCTGAGTCCTCAGGAATGGCAACGCATGGGGGGTATCATGGGCGAAACAGTATACTCTGTTATGTCTATGGTACTGCTCATGTCTATAGGCGACGGTTACACTTTCCACCAGGTGGGCCGTCAGCTTGTTCGCCATTCTAAGTTGTATAAAAAAATCTATATATAAATAATACATAAAATAATACATATGAGAGAGGTAAGGTACAAAGGCGACCTTAACTCTACAAGAGTTCTCTTCTAGTAAACACATAGTGGAAATGAGCATCAACGTCAGCGGTTAAAGCGGTGTACAATAATATAATTCTAGTGCGAGATAGATACAATATAGTTTGCATTGGTGATGTCCGCTCGCGAACGGAGAACCAAGTTTTTCTACAACTCCGACATGACATATCCTTGTCGGTAACTTTGCCCATCAAAATCACATTTTTATTTTTCTTTTTTTCTAATCTTTCGTACATATGTTTTTTTTTTTAAGTAGGAACACAGATGAAATAAATCAGTTCTAGATGGCGTATTAAAAAAAAATATGCTGTCATCATCATCATATATCGATCATTATCAGTCATCAATCACACCGTATGCTTGACAGCATAGGGACTAATTTCCTCGTTATATATAAAAAAATATAATATGTTTGACTAGTAGGTATGGTGTTGAGTCCGCCTTTTACACTGTCTAGGCTTATAAAAGTTCCTTATAATAATAAATAAATAAAACATACTGTTTCTTTTTATTGTATATGTTTGTATAAATTTTTTAATAGATGAAAATGGTATGGTTACCCCTGCGCTAACGGGATACGCTGGCGGAGCACTAGTGAAGGGTGATAGATGAGAATGAAAACAGGTCAGTTAGCCCATCATGATGAATTCATCAGGATTTAATCATGATAGTTTCCAAGGGGAACCGCGAGGACGTCGACCTGGTTGGGTATATCGCTAGCCATAGGATTCTCAGTCTCCATTACTAACAATCAATTTTCCCCCAAATTATTTGTATACATTAATATCTATTTAATAGTGTGCCACTTACCCGTTGTCTTTATCTCAATATCCTCTACCCAAAGGTTGTCTGAATGAGATTGCTTAGCGATAAGGTCACCTTTTGTATCACTTCTCATTAATATTTAATAATAATCTCTCTATTGCGTACAATAGAGATGTATATAAGGAGTATTTATACAGAATGTGCATATACAAAAGGCGGCCTTATCGCTAAAAGCAATCTGTTAGAGACAACAATATTTACTGTATTTATTATTTTTTAAATGTTGCAATAAAGTGTAAACAAATAAATATATCTTTATTCAAAAAAAATATAAAAATACAATCTTTGTGTACAATAAAATATAAAAAGTGAAAATAAAACAAAACATAACACTGTATTCTTTTATACTTGTAGCAATGGGATAACGAGCTAGCGACTTTCGCGCAAGTTTTAGCCAACCAGTGCGTCTTAAGACATGACATGTGCAGAGCGACTAGTAAGTTTACTTGTATTTGCTCACATATGTATTAACGTATCAAGGGGCACGGTAGTGAACCCGTCAAGTGAGCACAATCATACTATCCTATTTCTGAAGTAACTCACGACATTTTTTATCACTCTGTATCTTATCTTATTTTTCGCATATGGGGTCAGCTAAGCTGATGCACGTCGACCCATACGGATCTTTTGTGCTTCCCCCTGCCTTATACCATCATTTCATAGATCCTATGTGTTACCCTAACGATATCCCGCGGTTTAAGATATCTGTAGTCCCCTGGTTCTGGATAGGCCGTTCCCAGTAGACTCATACACATACTTGCCAACGAATCGCAGTTGCACATCAAGTGTTTCATGGATTCCGATTTCATTCTGTAACTTAATTGTGGATAAAGCAAGAAGTGTAAATTTTTAATGATCATAAGTATGTACTATAACTAGCTATATTGACAATATGTCTAATAATTATTTGTCAAATTTCATTAATTTTGTCATTGGCACAGTCACAGATCATCAAAATTCTAAGGTACTTCTAGCAATGTCACAAAATTTAAATTTTTAATCTTAATTAACATTCAGGAGAGAGAAAAAGAAGGAAGGAAAAAATTAATTGTCCCGAAATTTCATTATACACTTTCATTAACTGAATAATAATGTAAATGCAATAGCCAAGTCATTATAATTATTATGGTAATAATAATGAAATGCTAATACGGTCTTCCATAGACACTAAATAAAATAACTGCCTTGATTAAATATACATGAGATGTCACAATTTTTTGTAGTGAAACAACTGCATTGCGAGACTTGGCATTTATTTACATTTTATGTTTTTGATGGGATTAATATTTCATATATGGCATTCCACTGTAACCTCTTGTGCAATTCTCAAGCGCTTGATACACACACCTTACTGTCTTGTACAAATACTACACGCTTTTCAGTATAGCACAATAATAAATTATGTAAAATTTTGCTCTGTAATAAAACTAGGACTTTATTCGTGATAATAGTAATTATTTTGATTTAAAAACTGAATTACTGAACCGATTTTAATAAAATTTCTTTGGAGCCAAACTGTAAGTATATGTTTTTCAGATAAAAGAAGATTTTTCCAAATAGATTTGCAACCGTCAGAGTTATGAGGTCAGATTGATCCCATAGAAAGACCGATCTAAAAATAATTCCTTTAAAAAAAATATAATTTGCCAAATCAATTTATTTGTAAATAATGGAGTTTATAACTCTGATGAGTAAAAAAATTAAAGCTTTTGTTCAATTTACAGAGTACAGAGGAATAACCTGAGGACCTGAGTTCTCAGGAATGGCAACGCATTGGGAGGTATCATGGGCGAATCAGTATACTCTGTTATGTTCATGGTACTGCTCATGTCTATAGGCGACGGTTACCACTTTCCATCAGGTGGGCCGTCAGCTTGTTTGCCATTCTAAGTCGTATAAAAAAAAATATTTGAATAGGTTTATTATTATGAAATGTTGATAATCTATGGATCTAAAAAGACTTAAGATAGTATTTAATTCTATTTTTTTTTTGGAACTATATAATAATTACTACTGTCCTTTATTTGGAGTCCTGATTTTGTAACCTTCATATAGGAGGGGAGGAATTATTAATAATAGAAACTAAGGGCCCCATTGCTAGCAATATACCCAACCAGGTCGACCACCACGTGATCCCCCCTTGAAACCATAGTGCTGAATTCAAAGTGTATTCATAACGATGAACTAACTGACATGTCTTTTCATCCTCAGCTATCATCCCTCACTGGTGCCACGCCAGTGTATACCGTTAGCGCAGGCGCGATTACCATTCCATTATCACCCATTAATAAAAATCTTCGACATAACACAGCCAATATAATTTGTTATAGCCTATGGTTGTTTATATTTATCACATTGTAATAAATTTAAGAATAACAAAATTCCAGAAAAGTTCCCGGATCCCGGTCAAACGGCAGGCCTCGTACGATTTTCGTATCCCGACTGGTACCCCGTCTCCAAAGCTGGTCACTTCACCAAGCCAGGGTTGTCAGCTTCCAAATTACTATACGCTGTCATCCAGACCCTGAAGTCTTGGTACGGGCAGAAGGGAGCTGTGACCGCTAACATGATCACCAGTTATCCAGATTGGTCGCAGTAAGTATCTTTTTAAACTATTATCTTTGTATAACAGTTTAAATTTCCGACTGTCTCTCCGGTGACGGGAACTCCGTTAACACTTGCTGTATTAATTTTGTAAGTAATTAATCTGAACAACGAACGTTCTAAACTCAAATATTTTCAATGTAATATATCTACGATAAATCGTCGTCTATCTGTGCATTTTATTTTTTAAACTACCTACAACAATGCTGATACTAAATATACTACAGAGTGGTTTAAAATTAACGTTTGACTCAAGTACGAACATACAATATCGACCAAAAATCACGATATTATATTATGCATGTATTATACATATAAACCTTCCTCTTGAATCACTCTATTTATTAAAAAAAAAAAACATCAAAATGCGTTGCGTAGTTTTAAAGATCTAAGCATACATAGGGACAGATAGCGGGAAGCGATTTTGTTTTATACTATGTAGTGATACGTCATAGATAGCTTAACGTCATTTTTTATTATAAGATGACGTCACATTTTCGTCATTATAGGATCGTGACCTGAAAATGACAAAAATGTAATGTCTTTTTAGTATCATAGACGTCACTATTCTACTTGGAGACTGTAAAATAAAATAAGACTGGAGATATTTCGTGAGCTTGTTTCAATCAATTGTGCTCCTTTATTATAGGTTATTTTGGCAACCTAATATTCAATACTTATTTTCAAATAAAGGAATACCTATCCCAATTTGACAATTGATAGTATTTTTATTATTGGCATCCAATTTATTTCACTTCATCTGTAATGAGTTTTCAAAGAAACGGTATCAAAAGATTTATTCAAGAGAAGTCGATAGGCTATGGTTTTAACAAGAGAATTCTATAGATATCTCGAAATGTAATTTTGAATTGAATCACTCGTGCATTTAGAAACAGATTCTGATGAAATCTATTTATATATATTGACTGACCCCCGCAGCTTTGCCCGCATGAACCCCGTCTCCCCTTGCAGTGGGTGTTTCTATCTTTTCTTAATAGGGCAAGCTTCGTGCAAAATTTCATAATTTATAACCAGCAATATCGATTTTTTTTTTCTTTTTATTTACAAAAGCAATAGAATGAAAACACATGGCCTCCTTCTCATATCAAAAGAGACATACGTCCAGCGTGGGACTTTAATTCGTAATAAAAAAATTGGTAATACAATAAACGCTCTATATAAGCAACTCATTTGTACCAATTTCAATAAAAAAAAATCTTATTGGGAAAAGTTGCTTATAGGAAAAAAAGGAGTACTGTACTGTCTAGAAAATATTTTATTTATTTATTTTACTAACTAAGCTGTATAGAATAAATGAAATATAAAGAATGTTGCTTATAGAAAGATTGCTTATATAGAGCATTCACTGTATGTGCTTTCAGGAACCCAAACAACCAGGCCGGCAGACTATACTTGGAGATGATTTACGGACCAGCCACACACATGGGCTGCGGTATATCTGCGTACACGGAATATGCCTACTACGACAATCACGCTGCTCTTAACTATAACGTAAGCTATTATTACCAGTGGACTATACAAAAGTCTTCTTTCATGTGTTCCTGGCATAAAATATCTGTTTGCATGACTGTGTTTCTGTTTGAAGGATTTGATATAACTAGTTCACCTGATAGAAAATAGAAAACATTGTTATTAGACTTGAGAAGTGCCATGGACATAACAGAATATATTGTCCATTGTACCCTACCAGAGGGAGACTTTGTACAAAAGTCGATTGCTTGGGTACCTCTGTCCCATTCGTGTTTCTAGCGTGAAGCAGTTGTTTGCATAGCTGTGTTTCGGTTTGAAGGGTGGGATATGGCGTGAATTTACAGGGTACAGAGGAATAACGTCTGAGTCCTCAGGAATGACAACGCATTGGGGGTATTGTGGGCGAAACAGTATACTTTGTTATGTCCATGGTACTGCTCATGTCTCTAGGCGACAGTTACCACTTTTCATCAGGTAGGTCGTCAACTTGTTTGCCATTCTAAGTTGTATGCAAAAAAAACCCTTCATGCATTTCCGTTCCTATAAACAACTATACCTTCGTACTCTGTAATTTTCTGATCAATCATTATCGTCAATTAAATTCCTGCCATGTAGTCCTGGCATAAAAAAGCCACCCGTTCCTTTCCCGTGAGTGTCGTAAGAGGCTACTAAAGGATCTTAACAACCGTAGGATGGGTAGCAGCGTCCTTCTTAAAACATCACCAAATTCTAACTACAGTTGGCAATCCACCTGCCAAGCGTGGCAACTACTGACAAAACCCTCCAATAGGGTGAGGCATACGTTCAGCATTGGAGAGTCAATGGCTGATGCCGTCCTTTAAAATAAAACACTATCATGGCCCAGCTATTGTGGCAACATAATAGCAAGTGAGACAGACTGGGTACGTCTCATTCAAATGACTACCTTTTACAAATTCTACCCTTTTTTTTTGAAAAATCCTAAACCATCCCAAACCTATTTTTTATTTTTCACAATTTTTTAATTTTGAAGAGTGACTATACAAGTAACTCCTCAAAATTCAAAAATTAACGCAAAATATACAATACACAGTAAATAGAATAGATTTATAAAACGTTTGACGTTTTTGTGAATTAGAGAGTAAACTTAAGAATGTGTTAATGTTATTCCAGTCGGTACAAGTAATCTGCAATTACTCAGCTCGATCCCGTAAAGGTGGTTCAGTCTACGACACCGCTGTACCTCGGAGTAATTCAACCTCGGAGTTTACCATCCGCTGCGGCTGCCCACGAGGATCTGATGAAGACGCCGACTGCTTGTGCTACAACACACCCAAGAAGGATGTGACTTGTAAGAATAATTATAATAATTTTCTGAAAACAAAATTTCCTTTCGAAAAGGTTCGAGCCTTAATCCTAATACAAAAATAATATATGACGATCACATCCAACAAGTATAAAGCGCGAAAAGTTAATATAACGATCCTCACTAGACCGAATAATGAATTGAAGTATATTCCAGGGCAGAAAAGGCTTTAGACCATTGCTTATAGCAATCTATGGAGGGAAGCCTATATTCCACAAATAAATATTGAAACAGACTAATAATGGTGGAAAATTAACACACGACGATGGATCATAAACGTTGTCTTAAGGTGTCGTTCATCTACTTATGAGATTAGCTACTGTAGACAAAGACACATAATAGGTCACGCAATCAATCACCGCATAATTTTCTAGCACGGCGACCGTAGTCGAAATCGACTGGATAGATATATATTCTCGAAAGTTCTGTCTAACCATGCGAAGCCGGGCCGGAATCGTCGTATTAAATGTAATGATTTAATTTGTTCCAAAAGTTCTCTCAAGTACCATCTATTAATAGTGACGCCTTTAAGCCACTTAATCTTTCAACACTGGCGCCTATATTTCCGAAGTTTACTTGCTACTTACTAAACTCGGTCAAAGCTAAAATGCGTTTTGATGACACACTAAACAACTTTAGGCGCAGTTTGTTCCTAAAGACATGCATATTATATAAAAATACCTCTTTTTTCCATAAAGGAAAAGACTTGAAATCCGTGAACGAACATACATTAGGATATCTGGAAAATAATCTTAATATGTTTATTGAACCACTTAACTTATGAACGCCTGCAATATCGGGGGCATTACGCGCGCGTAATAACAATAACTTTATAATAATATTAGGTTGCCCATTCAATGCTGAGACCACACAGTGACTATTAATATACTAATTTTGATTTATTTATGCTCATAACCTTTTAATTACATTTACAGCTCTAAAAATAAAGACATATTCCAACAACGATCTTGACTGTAACCCATCTGTAGTTCTGTTGCCAATCTTCACAGTAGAGGACGCTCCCTCCCATAAATTGATTAATGGCCATGAGTAAGTATCATCAAGATATTAAGCTAATACCTGAGAGCCACCTAGATACTAGTATTAGTAATAACAGGAGTGGGGGGGGGCTAAAAATCTGTTTTACGCGAATTAAAATAAGATTCATTTTACTTTTACCAATTCAGCTCATAGCTGGTAGGTTTTCTGGAAAAAAATGTTATATATTACTAGATGTATTCCGCTACTTTGCCCGTGGTCGTATCGAGATGCTGAATAGCCTATACCTATGCTTTGGTCCAGAAATAAGCTATCAACAAAAAGAATTTTACAAATCCGACTGGAACTTCTTGAGATTCAAAGAAAACTTTTTCGCTTTATTGTATACCTGTAGATAGACTAAATATGTATTGTAACTAGAGTTATTTTTATCTAGATGGAGCATCGAGTATCAAAAATATCCCATATATCACAGATTCCCAAACCATTTTGGACAAGAAACCACTTTTGCAAAATGAACTAGATATCCGTACTTCCATAGTCAAATTACTTTAAACATCCTATCTCTAGATTTTCCCTGTTGATAAAAAATACTTACCAGTTTAAAAACTTTGCAATTGGTTATTGAATGAACTTGACATCATTTTCTCATCAAAATTTAACAAAATAAAATGAAAATACAAAATTAAATAAGTGTAATTAATAATTATTAAAACAAATTACGTAAATGTACTTAAGTAAATAAATTAATACGGGTCGATTTTTAAATCTTGTCGACTCCCAAAATCAGTTTTTGTTTATGTCGACCTCTGAGAAACCGATGTCGGCCCCAGGGGATTGATATCGACCACTCTGAGAATCCCTAATCTAGATATTGTTGATCTAGGAAAACAGATATACCTAATCTGTTTCCTTGGATCAATGAAAAACAGATTGCTTGTTTGAATAGGAACGAACGAAACACAACACTTCGGGATAATTTAATGGATGTACTCGACTTCGAAGAAACAAGTCTCAGTATGTCCACAAAAGAGGTAAGTAATTAAATATAAGTAGAGAAAACTGAGTACTGAGTACAGAGATACTCAAATTTTAAGTTTTAAAAACAAAATAAATCCTTATTAGTATTGCAAATATAAAAGTGAGTTTGATTTAATATTTGATTATAAAGTACAGATTGTCAATGTAAAAGAGATAGAACATAATAATATATATGTTAGAGCGAGATAAACAAGTAGGACAGTCACGTACGCAATATAAAATCGAAGATTATTTGGCGGGAGAGTAAATTAGAAAAAGGAACCACAAAACTGTGCATTTTTTTATGATTACGATTTAAAAAAAAATATTTCTTTAATCATCATGATCATCATCACATCAGCCGTTAACTGTCCACTGCTAAACATGGATCTCCAAATAAAGAGGTGTATTGCCAGTTATTGCCACGCTTGGCAAGCGTGTTGACAACCGCAGTTAGGCTTTAGTGATATTTAAAGGGTGATTGGGTCTTTACTAAACTACTGTTTAAATACAATATTATAGAGCAATCAGAAATATTTTATACAAGAATTAATAGAAAAACATATCTAATTTAACCCAAATACAGTTCTGAAGACCCACGAATTTTCATTAAAATTGTAACAAATAGATAATTTTTTGCTATTTTTTTCAACTTTAATCTCATACAAATTTAGTGCACACATTTCCAAACACACACACTAGTGTAACTATACACATACACTAGTGTTTTTGTGATTACATTGCCAATCCAGCAGTGTAATAATATACTATGCCTATGTATTTAACCAACAAACTTATTTTAGTAGAAAGATCGTTTCGTTAGAAGGTTGGCGCTAAAATAGCTCTCGACCAATCGTTAAATTTGGCATACAAGTAGTATATGAGATGGCAAAGGATACAGGCCGGGTCGAACAAAGTTGCGTGAAAAAATTAATAATTATTTAAAAAAGAATTAATTTGAATTTTTAATTTCCAGATACCATGTGTATTGTTATAATATATTTTGTGATGTTCACAGTGATATTCAGTTCTAGATACAGACAACGGTTACTGCTTTCCATCAAGACAGCCGTAAGCTTATTAAAAAAATAAATTTATTATTTATTTATTTATTTATTCCAGCCTCACATTCATAGAATATTAAATGGAATAATTAACAGCCCACGTCCGAAAATGACGCTACCCAGGTAAGCACGCGCAAATAAATAAAAATTAATTCCAATGTCAGAAAGGAGAAATTCTCAATTTTATTGTGCATCTATATTCACCAACCGAATATATATTATAACATATTTGTAATATGATATAGAACAATTTTATGATTCTTTTCTTTAAGTGACTTCAAAGAGGAAGAGACTTTACACGTATTTTGTGTATGTGTGTGTACATTTTACACGACAGCATTATCTAAACTTTACTTAGAACAGAAATATATAATTCCTTTTTGCAATAACAATTGAAGGCGCAAAATCCTGCTTGTGACGAAACGAAATCTTTCGATATACAATTCCGCATTCGAAATTCAAATTCAAAATCAATGCCTTTTAATTACTTTGAAATTACAAAACAAGTAACAAAGCCAGTTTGAAATAAGAACAGATTCAATATTAAGAGCGTTCATAACTTTAGCTCGCCGAAATAACAACGTCGCAACTATCTGTAAATTTTTAAAAACAATTTTCAATATTACTGATTGCTTATTTAAAAATTTCTCTGTTAGCAAGCTAAAACGTTAATCATGCAATAATATTCTTATTAAACTGTCACTAAAATTTGAATTTTCAAATTTGAAAATTCCATAGCAAAAAACTTACGAAGTAGGTGTACAGCTTTCACTGGCAGATTAGTTCATCAGCGGAGCATTCTTTAAATAATCAATCAAATACCATTAAATTATCAATTGTTTCGAGAATTGACAGATAATTACGACGTTGAAACTAAAGTTATAAACGCTCATAATTTTCTCGCAATAAAAGTCCTTGTTTTTTTACGTAACGAAATCCACTTGCCTTAATAATGTAAATTTTGTTCTATTTCAGCCGACCATTAAAGCGAGTGACTAGTGTAAAAAATCGATATTTCACAAAGAAATCCGTAATCCCGGATCGTCAGCACCATCACAAGCAATCTCCACGACCCTCCTCCGGTCACGTCTCGAGTAAAGTAAATAGCAAGTATAATCTTAAATAAATAACCTCATATTAAAAAAAAAACACCTTGTTAATTGTAGTCTGTACGCGATAAGGTAAAATACATTAATCTTAGATAACAAGACCTTAAATGGATTTCTGATTAATAGCTTAAAATACATTTGGATATTACAATAGTATTTTAAGCAATTTCTAAAAGGAGGTTCACTGTATTTTAAGCAAAGGTGATTCTTTTATTAGCTTCTATTTTTTTTTTTATGGCTACGTTACATCATTACGTTGCCAGTTCTGAACCGGTTTCGAAATTTCTTTTGAAAATATATAGGGCTTACTCGTATGTTGGTCGGGAATTTTGTGATGATTACAACTGCCTTTTTTCTTTTTTTTTTAATTCAAATATTTTCAGTCTTACTTATGTCATAAAATCAGTAATTTTTTTTTGAGAATTCAAATATAAAAATTTATTTGTTTCCAAATAATTTACTGATTGACAATGATGTGCTATCTGTTACCACATTGGATACAAATAACCTTGGCGTGATGTCACCATGTCGAGTCTTACGTTCGCTACAATGTCCAATGAACAATTAATAAACAGATCCTGACTACTTCATGAAGAATTATAGTCATGAACATATTTTTTTGTATTTCGAATGGAACTCGTTCCTCATTCTATGCTATGTTTACAAAATCTGACCTGTATGAATGATTACCAAGAATATTAATTGAAAAGGAAAATTTCTGTTTGTTACGTACCTTGATATTGAATATTAATAAGCAAACTTTAATTTTTATGGTTTAATGTAAACACCACATAGATATTACCGTAGTAATTTAAAATAAAAGTCTATAAAAAAATATATAATTACCATTTAGCTGTATCCCGCGACTTCACCCATAGTCGTGTCGTAGTGTTAAATAGCCTTTCTCAAATGTGCTATCAAATTCCAAAATAGTTTTTTAAACAAACAAACATATTCTTCCACTTTATGTATTACTTAGTATATGTTATAATTACAATTATAAGTAAATACTTACTCATAGTTAATCGACGTGATACAAATGAAGATCCTAAATGTCAACCTTGCCATTTACGTATTCAAGACAATGGGATCGGTGTTTACGTATGTCGCATTCTAATGGAGGCCCTCATCAAAAGCTTCCTTAATATCCGATATTTTCTTATGTAAATATCTACTACGTGAGCAATAGAAGTGAAATATCATGACGTTTTAGGGTTAAATATTTGGAGTTATAAAACGTTATGATTTGTTACGATATCAAATTTCCAACTAACTTCAGCAAAAGAAAACACCGAGAACAAAGCAAATTCCAAGTAAGGTTCGCCCTTTACCACACTGAATTCTAAAGTGCTCGGTAGAATTCAAATATGAATGTGGACATGTCAAATGTTATGTTCACAATAACAGCAACAGTTCGCAATTTTTTTTACAACACAGGGGGCAAACTGGCATGCAGCTCACCTGATGGTAAGAGACTACCGCCGCCCATGATCACCTACAACACCAGCAGCATTGCAGGTGTGCTGCCGGCCAAATATGCCTGACTACCCCATTAGGTAACAATAGATCTATATTATTATTAAATGTGCATTTAAAAATATGTAATTACAGAGAAGCAGCATATTTTCACGTACCACAATATTCGAAATGCCGAAACATAAGGAAAATACTCGGCTGAAAATTCTGCGAGATATTAAAAAGGATGTCATTCCGAGGAAAGATTTCACAAATGTAAAAAACCTCGTCAGAATTTACATGAAAGATAGACGAAACAAAATTGGAGTAAATCAAGATGCATCTATTAGGAGTGAACAGAAAATTCGCGAGAACAAACTTGACGTACAGCATAAACAAATTTTAAGAATAAAAGTTACGACAGAATCATTTTTGAATACTGCGGAAGAAGAAATCATAAATGATTATCATTATTTAAAAGGAAACTTTCAACCCAATACCACAAGTGAAGTTCCTACAGAAAAACAGCTAAATATAATAAGCTCTCATGAAGAGGGTGATAAAAAACTAATGACGTTGCTTGATAAACTAGAGCAAGAAGTTAAACATATCGAATTGCATGGCAACAAAAAAGATATATTTGATGCGAAAATAAGAAAAATTTATAATCACGTTATAGGTAAACCCGTAAATCTTATATCAAAGCAAGCAGATATTTTGAAAAGAGATACTTCATATAATGAAATCTCAAATAAATTCTTTAAAAATAATGTATCTAATGATAAAGAAATTATGGTAGAATATGATAAAGAGAATAAGAGTCACAAAGATATTGAAGAAATTGGAACTAGAAATTTAAAAATGAATATGAACGAAGCACTTAATGAAGGCAAACATAATATGAGACCTGTTTCTAAAATAACAAATCAAAACACATTAACGTCACGTGACGAAAAAACTGGTACAGAATATAGAAATTTAAGAAAGAATTATGATGATGAAATTATAAATAAACATCATTATGAAAAGATAGCGAGAGACAACCATGAAAGGTTGTATGATGATCAAGAATTGAATAAGAAAAGATATAGTAATAGGGATGATATAAGAAATATTTATAGAAGAAACGATAAAAGTTCAAAATACCTTTATGATGATGAAATTTTCAATAACAGAAATCATATTGAATATGACGACGTGTTGGGGCCGGAGCGGAGACAATATTATCAGGATAAACTTGATAATTTGGAGAGAAAAATTCAGAATACCCGAAATTTTAGACACAGGAGTATAGTTAGTATCATTTATACATTATCTTCATAAATTCATAGGTATTAGTAAAAAAAAAACTTATTTACAAATAAAACTATCAACAATGACGAACGAGCTGATGATCTCATGAAAATTGATAACTGACATATGTCATATAATACTCATCATATCGTATTTACGTTGCTGCTCTAGAAAAATAAGGAGCTATAACTTTCGTACTCATTTCAGACCGAAACAAAATAATGCACATTTTGCTACTTCACGGCGCACCCACAGTATAAAATATAATCATTTTGCCCATTCATAATATATCACTCCTTGTCCCTCTTCTAAAAAGTAACAAAATTAAATTGGATCTTCGGAACATAAATTTAATATGCCTATAATTTTCTGTGTGGTTCCGGCATAGAATAAGCCACCCCTTACTATTCCGTGGGTGTCATTAAGAGCAACTAATTGAGGGCGAGAGATGAGCAGCAGCGTCCCTATTAAAATATATCCAAAGCCTAATTGCGTTTGCCAATCTGTCTACTGGCAAAACCCCCCAAGGAGGAGGTTTATGTTCAGCCGGGGACGGTTAAAGACTGATATGATATTTATGTAAGTTTATATTCATATGTATATATATGTATAGTTTGTTTTAAAAATATGAATGGTATATATATATATATATATATATATATATATATATATATATATATATATATATATATATATACTCCATACGACATCGCCTTATATAAATATTTATATTAATTTCGATATTATATATTGGATATTTGATAGATTTGTTATTGAGTCAGTATATAGATAATGTAACTACAATATATATATATATATATATATATATCTAAATATGTAAATATTTATATTAATTTCTGTTTAGCACTACTACTGCCCACTCACTATTTCCTATGACACTGTATTAGGTTGACTGGACGAAATCTCTTTTAGAGATAAGTTCGCCTTTGCTAACATTGTTATTAACTTATTGTTGTTACTGTATGTTTTAGTACAATAAAGAACATATTTTTAAAACAAAATTTATTTTTTAGCAGGAAAACAACCGTCATGTTCGTCGGATGAGACCAACAAACCAAAATAACTTGCGCTCGAGACGAATTAGAACCCAAATGGAACCATTGTATATGCCAGATAGAGCGAGATTTTTGCATGGATTCTAAATAGATCTTAAATAAATATTGTAATACATAAATAATATGTTTTAATCATTAAATTATGCCACAGATTTATTACATTTAATATTTATTATCATAATTATTACAACGCACATTGTCCGGGGGGAGGGGGATTGTTAGTAATGTGGACTATCAGTCCCATTACTAGCAATATATCCTGTCAGGTCGACCTCCACCCGGACCTCCCTGGAAACTGCGCGCTGATTTTCTGGTGTATTCATCACGATGGGCGAACTGACCTGCCTTTCTATTCTCACCTATCAACCCTCACTGGTGCCCCGCCAGCGTATACCGTTAGCGCAGGCGGGGCTACCATTTCATTATCATCCATTAAAAAAAACGCACATTGTCCTGTGTACTGTAATGTTTTACATAAACTTTAATATAACAAATTGTTAGACAAAAAAATAATGACTCTTGAGTTAGAATAGAAAAATCAAAATTCGTTGTCGTTTTGAATTTTTGATTTACAAAATTTCAATCATACAATATATTCATTAGCATGGATAGATTCTTTGTTTTACATACTGCTAACAATTTTGATTTTACCCTGCATCTTACAATATTCAATACATATACCATACATTACAAACATTATGTTTTTCGACATACATTTAAGTGGAAACAGTCAATATGGTACTACAAGTTGGCATCCATCAGAAAAGGTTTTTTCGAAATTGGAAACAAGAAATAAAGTGCCGGCCAGATCAGAGGTTTTCCATTTAGCAGTACGCACAAATATACACAACACTTTCAGACATCAAAAGAATTATGTCGAGTGGCGGGGTGCTAACGCTGTTATTTTTTGGCGTCCGCCCGGCGCAGATGGGTACTGTTTACTTAGGACCATGCTTTCAATGTATAAAGCGTTAAGTAGTAGATACGTGCGTTATAAATTACAAAAGAACACCGAAATTTATTAAAGTAATCGACAAATAAATAAATAAAGCTAATATTTTTTTTTATTATTTATTTATTTCTTATATAAAATTTAACCGCTATCTATTCACGACATTCTTTAAGGTTTTGTATAGGTTATAAAGGTTTTTTTTGATGGGTAAAAATGGTATGGTAATCCCGCCTGCGCTAACGGGATACGCTGGCGGAGCACCAGTGAAGGGTGATAGATACGAATGAAAACCAGGCCAGTTAGCCCATCATGATGAATTCATCAGGAATTAACCATGATTTAATATATGGTATTGTTCATATCTATAGGCGACGCTTACCACTTTCTATCAGGTGAGATGTCAGCTTGTTTGCCATTCTAAGTTGCATAAAAAAAGTATACCATAACATTTTCACCCATCAAAAAAAAATTAATAAATAAATAAAAAATATATATATATATATATATATATATATATAACTAAACGGATAACTATACTATTCTACATATTTATGAAATTTGTTGACTATATTCTTCTTCTAATTTGGGTAAGTTGTCTGTTTTAATAAAATTCAAAGAATAAACAAATGAATAGTTGACTAGATAATAGATAGTCTGTTAATATCCAATAATTGTACATACCCCCCCCCCCCCGGCGCGTCACGTCTATAATATTTCCTGTCGTCGTTTAATTATGATTTTATTGTATTAAAAAGTTTAGTAGAACAAATATCATCTTGCTTGTAAATTGTTATTTTGGCGTTGTCGCGCACAATACAAGCATTTCCGTTTATAAAACATATTGAACTTTATCGATTACTTGCCAAAACAAATGAAATGTTTCCATAATAGAGCGGAACAACAATAAACTAGCAACACTATTCAATTAACACTTCGCTTGTACCGACGCCGGACATATTTTTTTTATATAATACACATAATTTTTTTTAACTCATTTTAAAAATAGAATGTTTCCTCTTTTTTCATTCTATACGGTATTTTTTATATTTATTTTCATACTGGCATGCGAATGTAAAGATTTACACTTAAAAGAGGTACGTACCTATTTCATATAATAAGTTTTTAATTATTTAATATAGAAAAAAAAAATAAAGCCAGATTCATATTCAGACGGCTGGATTACATCTGAGTGAATTTCTTTAATTGTATATAAACTTTTTACTGACATAATTTGAAAGGAAATAGTAACTAACTAAATAGACGAAATTGTTTTCTGAAATAAAAATTATAATTATTATTATATTGCTATACAAAAGTTACATCCAAAAGGGACCTGAAGTGAAATTTAAAAGAATAAGTAGTTATTTTAGGACAGAGAGTCATAAAAAAGTTAAAAAGCCTCTTTAGAAGTTCCGTGTCCAGACGCAATACTTTAACAAAGTTTGTAGAAACATTTTAACAAGTTTGTCTAACATTGGATGATTAGAAGTGAGTGCATAATTTTATTGAATTGGAATTAATTTTACTATATCACAGGTTTTTTTTTATTTCGAAAATTAATATTATATAATATAATATAAAAAAATAATATAAATTAAATTATATATATATATATATATTATATTATGTATATAATAATTAAATTATTATTTTAAATAGAAATTTATTATTTGATAAAAACAAAGTTACAAACACAAGATACAATGGGCCCCACACTAGGCGAACCTGTATCGTGGGCACCCGACAAAGATTTACAATTAACAATCTGTTATAATAAAAAATACATAAAGGACGGGTATTAATATAAAAGAAATAGAATATAAATTTAATTATCTAGCATATATATTTAAATATTATATTCCTATGAACCCAATTGCGTGATATCAAGTAATAAAAAAAATCGTAAACAAAATATTATATATATTATTACAATTAAATAAATCACTTATTATTATGCTTACAGGGTTACACATTTAATGGCAAACATTTGGCACAGGAATACGAAATGGAAGGTAATTACAATAAAAAACAAAGGGTAAGTTTCTCTAATAGTGTTGATCCTAGCTCCTGATAAACAGTAATTTATTTCTTGACAGTTACAAGTACATTGTACAGGGAAATAGGCATAGGCATTAGCATCATGTCGATAGAGTTCTCTTCTAGCAAAGACACTGAACAGTTTTCCCAAAATAAACATGAGTTTTATCCCAACCATTTGGACAAGTGGCGGTCTTCCATCGTGCGTTTTTAATGCACTTTCTTCCACGAACAACCACTTTGGATTCAACTTCCAACAGCAGTATTTCCGAACCGATACGACATCATAACCTTCATGAAAAGAACATATTCCTTTTTAAAAGGCCGGCAGCACACCTGCAATGCTGTTAGTGTTGTGGGTGATCATGGGCGGCGGTCACTTACCGTCAGGTGAGAAACGCATGCTTGTTTGCCCCCTGTGTTGTAAAAAAAATGAGTAGGATTGAAGAAAATTTAGACTTTTTTGTATTTTTTTAATAGATGATAATGGAATGGTAATTCTGCCTGCAGAATCGGTATACACTGGCGGGGCATCAGTTAGAGATAATAAGTGAAGATGAAGCAGATCAGTTAGTCCATCGTGACAAATTCACTAATGAATCAATCACGATAGTTTCCAGGGGGAAGTGCGAGTTGGTCAACCTGATAGGGTGATTTTTTGTATTGATGAGGAGGCAAAATCGGATGATCCGGCTGATGTGAAGTGTCTTCTGCGTGCATAGACACGTGCAACATAAGGGAAACTGCTAGCGCGTAACCGGCCTTTTAAAGTCCCGTTGTTAATGAGTCCCATATTGTAACGCAAGGTAAAAGCCTCGGAGGGGAGCTTATCGCACAATCTAAATGCGCGAGACAGAAATAAGCGCGGCACAGTAGTCGTGTGCCGGAGGGAAAGACATTCTTAGTAATGGAGTAAAATAGCCCCGTTACTTACAATATACCATATCAGGTCGACCTCCACGTGGTTCCCCCTGGAAACCATCGTGGTTGATTCTAGTTAAATTCGTCAGGATGAGCTAACTCAACTGGTTTTATCCTCATCTATCATCTCTCACTGGTGCCCCGCCAGCGCATACAGATAGTGCAGGCGGGGTTACTATTCCATTATCACCCATTAAAAAAAAAGTAGGCGTGTGCCATGTATCTGAAAAATAAGAATGGACCCCGGGTTTTTGCATAATAACTAGATAAATTAACGCCAATAGTAGTCGTAATAGTGTAGCATTGGTGACAACCGCGGTCGCAAGATCGAATCCCAGCCTCTGAATTATCAAATTCATCTTTGGTTTAATTAAAAAATAATTGCCATTTTCTCCGTGCTCGTCAAAGTCCATCGTGTACAATGAAAGTAGCTGCAAAAATGAAGCTATAAGACCCCATTGCTAAAACTTCTATATCATGAACATACTTGTCTTTTTTTTTTATACAACTTAGAATGGCAAACAAGCTGACGGCCCGCCTGATGGAAAGTGGTAACCGTCGCCTATGACGCCTAAACATGAGCAGTACCATAGACATAACAGAGTATACTGTTTCGCCCATGATACCCCCCATGCGTTGCCATTCCTGAGGACTCAGGTGTTATTCCTCTGTACCCTGTAAATTCACGCCATATCCCACCCTTCAAACCGAAACACAGCTTTGCAAACACAATTGCTTCACGGTTGACACACGAATGGGACAGAGGTACCCATGCAATCGACTTTTGTACAAAGTCTCCCTCTGGTTGTCTTTTAAATTCCTCAGCTTTTAGCGCTGGTAAACATACTACACTTACAGGTACGTGACTAAGTGAGTGCAGTGTGTATGTTTGTATGGAAAGTTATGCTTGTGTATGACGGGTGGCTACTTCATCCTCATCTATATCTAAGAATTTTCCGACTATTCATGAATATTATTATTACCTTATTATTTTGACATGTAAGTAGGTGCTTTATTATAAATTTACTAAACGTGTAATAATATGCTCCACATACTGCCTACCACGCGTGGCAACTACTGGCAGCATCCCTCAATAGGAAGAGGCCAATGTTCAATAGTGGATAGTTGCGGATGATATGATGATGATGATGTTCCACGTTCCTATGATAGATGATAATTGACTAGTAGACAATCAGTACACAGGTAACACAATGGGAAATGATCACAGACAAAACATTATCTTCTGCGTAGGCCTTTAACCTTTTAACCGTCCCGGACGGATTTGTCCGACGATTATTTTCGTAACCCTGTTGGGTTTATATGAAACAGAACTTGTCCCAGTATGTTTGTTTTTTTTTTTTCGTTTTATTTAACAACCTAATATATTAATACAATATAAAAATAGATACAGGATATAAGACAAAAGTTAGTTTAGGATTCTTTACTTACTAGTATTTATCAGTCAGAAATATTAAAAGAAAATCCTTACTAATATTATAAATGTGAAAATGATTTTTTTTACCTTATAACTTACCTTTTAATGATTTAGTCAATCACTATGAAATTTGGTATACACTAGAGAATTCAGTCCCAGGATCCCAAATGACAAAGGCAATTGGTTTTTTTTTAACGATGACAATTTTATTTTTTGCGTCTGTGGTCGTTCAAAAATTATTATTAATTATTTATTTTAATGTATACAATAAATTTATATATAATTATCCTTGTCATTCGGGATCCCGGGATTGTTTTCTCTAGTATACACATATTGTACGGGTGGAGAAAAATGTAGGTTATTTATCCAGATTTTTTTATAATATATAAGGATCTTTAAAAATCCCACTACTAATGGATTACATCGGGTTTTCCCCTTGTATTTTACATATAAAGAATTGTATTTTAACGCATATAAAGTTTAAGCGCATTTTATTAGAAGCACTACGTGTGTTAGTTAAATATATATTAATATATATGTATTTAAGTGTATTATACTTATTTAATAATATATCACGGGAATTTATCTCAATTTGTTAACATATCCCGGTCACGCGGACGAAGTCCCATGTATGAACAATTTACAGTTCTTAAGTTTTTTTATTGGATGATAATGAAATGGTAACCCCGCCTGCGTTAACAGTATACGCTGACGGGGCACCAGTGAGGGACAATAAGTGAGAATGTAAAGGTAGATCAATTAGCTCATCGTGATGAATACACCTGAAATTCAGCACTGTGGTTTCCGAAAGGGACAACGGGGAGGTCGACCTGATATTGCTAACAATAAGATTGGTAGTGGATATTGCGCATTAATAATAAACGCTCCCCCTTTTAATTTAAATAGGTAAGTAGCAGTAGAGTGACTATGTCTGCTACAAAGTCAAACAATCGAAGGGTTAATAAAATTGAAATTTCAGTACGCACGACATGTGGAAGCTGTAACTGAAAGTCTTCTAGAACATCTGGTGAAAGAAATCAACAAGTATTCATCAGTTAAAGGCGAGAGGCGAAACAGTGCTATACCCAAACTGATGCGACGCTTGAAAATGAAACTGAGGAGGCGATACCGAAAAAAATCTAGGAAATTGAACAAACACATAAAGAACTCGACGACTACTCGAATGATGAATGTAAACTCTTAATTACGAGTATAGCGATGAACAATTATCTAGCAATAAAAGATTTATTTATAACCCGGTTTTTTTTTTTTTCACGCACAACGGCCCAAATGAGAGGCTAAGTGCGGAAAACAGAGTCTTTCTTACAACCCGGTTTTTTTAATAGTAATCATAATAATTCCTTTTTTAACCGACTGTAAAAAGAAGAAAGTCCTCAATTCGGTTGTATATTTTATGTATATTACCTCATAACTCCGCCAGTTTCAGACTGATTTGAAAAATTCTTTTTTTATCTGAAAGGATATACCTACAGTCTGGTTCTATAGAAATTTTATCAACATCGGTTTAGTAGTTTAGTTTTTAATTAAAGTACATGGTTTTGTCACAATTAAAATCTTTTTTTTTTTGTGGGACATGATCTTCATAATTTTTTTTTTGAAATAACAAAAAATCTAGTCACTCCTAGGACGTGTTCATAGGTGAAAACTCCTTAAATATTTTTTTAGAAAATATTTTTTTATTACAAATTATTTTCATCGACGTATTAATCATCATCATTTCAACTATTAACTGTCCACTGCTAAACATAGGCCTCCCCTATAAAAGGGGGTTTTGCCAATAGTTGCCACGCAGGCGAATTGGCAACCTTAATTCTAAATCTTTGGTTATATTTAAGGACGGGCACAGCTGCTCATTCCTCGACCATAAAGTTTCCTTAGTTGCCACTTATAACACCCACGGGAAAGGAAGGGATAGCCCATTCTATGCTGAGACCACACGACGTCAATATATTTATATATGTATAGAAACAACATTTTCATTTATTGTGCTATTTTATAAACCCGCCTTTATAAATAGGCTCGCCCACGTAAATCAGCACATCAGAATATATTATTATCATTATTATTTCAGCCATTATCCGTCCACTGCTGGACATAAGCCTCCCCCATAGACTGCCATAAAGAACGGTCCTGAGCCACCTGCATCCGCTGAATCCATCTAGTGGGGGGTCGTCTTACACTGCGTTTGCCCGTACGCTATCGCCACGTAGAATATCCTTTATGCCGAGTGAAATATAAACTATGCGTGTACCAAATTTTATTCAAATCCATTTGGTAGTTTTTGCATAAAACAGTAACAAATATCCGTCCACTACAAGCTATCATAACAAACTTTCGCATTTATAAATAGGATGGACGCAAACGAACGACTTTGTACAGTATCCCCATAGTATTATATTAAAAATGCACCTAAAATATGCAAATAATAGCAATCTATTCCTGTTCTATAATAGTGTATTTTTCTGTGATTTAACTACGACCAGTCGCCTGCCTGACATCAACCCAGCACATGCATGGACATTTGCTAGTGGTATCCGCCACCTACGATATGTAAGAATGAGGAACAATAAAGAAGTAAGTAAAGGATGTACATAAGTAAAAAAGGAACGTACCTAGTTCTATTGCAGGAGAGAAAAGGGATTGTTAGTAATGGGAACTAGCAAACCCATTGTTAGATATATAGGGTATATTCAGGGTCAGGTCTATCTCCTCGCGGTCCTCTTTGAAAAGCATCACATTTTCACTCAAATCCATTCAGCTGTTTAAGCGTGGTTGAGTAACATACATACAAAAATCTAAACATCATTACAAACTTCCTCATTTATAATTTTAATTTACGAAAGTTTGTAAACAATTAATATTATTGTATTACTCAATAACTAGTTACGATATTCAAATGATTTAAAAAAAAAAACTTGCTTTTTTATTTTTTATTTTATTATCTTCTAACTCTGTCAGTTATAAACCGATTTGGAAAATTCTTTTTATCTGAAAAAATATATTTCCATTGCATGAAAACAATCTATAAGTATGTATTTTTTTTTTATTGGATTATTTTATCTGAAAGGTTATACATACAGTTTAGTCTCATAGAAATGTTATCAAAATGGATTTTGCAGTTTAGTTTTTAAATCAAAATAACTGAAGTCGGTTTTGTGGAACACAATCTTTTATTTCTAGTTTTCCTTCTCTCGTATGGTAGGTACTGTTCCAGATGTATTTAATTTTGTTTACCGGAATTTCTTTTATAAAGGAATAGGTTTACCGAAATTCCCACGGAAATAGATGAGCAACTCCATCTTAGCAATATCACCAGAATCTAATTAATTAATAAAATTAAAAAATATCTACATTAATGTATTATTCATTCATTTTAATGTGTACAATTATGTCCATAGGTTTCCTTCCGGCTATATCCCGTGATACCGAGAAGTTATTTTTTAATGGAGTTTTCAATGATTTATGTCTGCTTCTCGTTCTCTTATACTCGTATTTCTTTTCAATTCTCCTGTGTGTCTCCGCACCCGATTCTTGGCTGATATTTTCTTTGCTCTCTTCTATTCTCGGTTTTTCTAATTTCTTCTTGAGCAACTTCTTTTTAGATCTCACTATCCGTTTCTTTGTATTTGAGTTAATATGTGGGGAGTGGTGGAAATTTTTTTCACTATCAGCCGGTTGAGCTACATTGTACTGTGAAGAATAAAAAGAACGTCATTTTTATAAGTGTTTTTGATTGTGACTAAATTTATTTATTTATTTATTTATTTATACTTCTGCACACGTTAAAACATGTCTACAGGGGACTCTTAATACTTAATTGCTTTTTTTTCTATTTCTCACATTTTTGTAGTTCTATAACCAAATAGTAAAAATATCTATTTTAAGGGATCTCCCTTATAATTTTGTCCTGACCATCTGTCCGTATATCGACGCATTATGTCTACAGTTTATTTATTTTATTTATTTAATACTTTATTGTACACATTAGTTATAAAAATATGACAGAGGTAAACAAAAGTACAAAGGCGAGCTTAACTCTGATAGAGTTTTCTTCCAGCAAACCCAAAGTGGAAAGGAGCATCAATGTCTATATTAATTTTTCAACAGACTTCAAAAAGAAGAAGGTTCTCGAATCGATTGTATTTATTTTTTATATTTGTTACCTCATAACTCCGTTAATTGTAAAGTGATTTAAGCAAAATCCTGTTTCTATTTAAAATAACACAGTCATAGATTACTCCCATAAAAGTTTTATCAAAATCAGTTTAGTAGTTTATTAATTAATTAATTAAATCAAAATAACTTATTTTATGAGAATTAAAATCGGTTTGCTTTTACAAATGTAAAATGGTAGCCGCTACATGAATGGTGAACAATTTGAGTGAGAAAATTATATTGCGTAATACAGTGGTACGGTTGGAATAACACGCGCCAACAATGCGCTGCAGTAAGCTTGAAAAACATATATATATTTATTTCGATCGGGTTCTTAATTTCGATATCATATATCGGATATTTAATAGATTTGTTATTGAGTCAGTATATATATATATATATATATATATATATATATATATATATATATATATATATATATATATATATATATATATATATATATATATATATATATATATACTAGCTGACCCCGTAAACGTTTTTTTACCACTTATTGCGAAATATAAAAATCGCGATTAAAAGTCAGGGGTTGATCGTAAAACGGTGCAAATTTGAGGTTGTATGTATTTTTCAATGCTAAATTCGAATTCGAAACGATTTAAATACGTTCGAAATTCCGTTAAAAGTCAACCTCCCATTTTAGTTCGTGAGGTCTTATTTAACGTAAACACATTTGAGCTCTGTTTTAGTTCGTGATGCTTCATCTAGTTGGTATTGTTGATCTATGTATAAATAATTTACAACTTTTAGTCAGAATCTTGCCTTAGTAATAATTTATTAGAACAACATACATAGCTAATGTTATTTATATGCTGTAAGTGATATAAATAAATTATATATCTATCTCCACTTTATTTAGTTGAACACACACACACACACACACACACACACACACACACACACACACACACACACACACACACACACACACACACACACACACACACACACACACACACACACACACACACACACACACACACACACACACACACACACACACACACACACACACACACACACACACACACACACACACACACACACACACACACACACACACACACACACACACACACACACACACACACACACACACACACACACACACACACACACACACACACACACACACACACACACACACACACACACACACACACACACACACACACACACACACACACACACACACACACACACACACACACACACACACACACACACACACACACACACACACACACACACACACACACACACACACACACACACACACACACACACACACACACATAGTCTATATTTTGTAATTAACTTTGCCTAAGTTATATACTAGAAATATGTTTTAATGTTAAGTTCATTCTTGCACTTTATATTTCATTATTGTTATCTGTGTATTATAACACTAATTGGTTGCTTTGTATTTGTGTAGCCCATGGAGATGGGGCACTGGTGACTTGTAACAAAGGTTCTTCAAAACCTACCGCAAGCACCAGTCTCCCACAAAATTGGTCTTCATATCAAATTGTACCTCTAGTTGTCACTTTATACTACCTTTTGTGAAGAGAAAATAAACCATTCATTCATTCATACATACCTCAGCTGCGTATTTTTCGATACTGCTAAATAAACCACTATTTGTACTTGCTTCAACCTGAAATAAAACAAAAAATGAAATATGTATTTAAAAATAATATGTGTGTATGTTATAACATATACCATCATCTTCGTACCAGCCTTTAACTGTCCACTGCTGAACATAAGCCTCCCTCTTGGGGAGTTTTGCCAGTAGTTTCCGCTTGGCAGGCGGATTGGTATCACAGTCAGGCTTTAGAGATGTTTAAAAGGGACGCTGCTGCTCATGCCTCGTCCTCCCTTGGTGGGCTCTTACGACATCCACGGAAAAGAAAGGAGCAACTTATTCTATGCCGGGGCCACATTTGGGCGGCGATAGTCATTTACCATCAGGTGAGCCGCATGCTCGTTTGCCCCCTGCGTTGTAAAAAAAAAACAGACATGGCCGACATATAGCATATACATATGTATTTTATTATTATTATACCATTGGAGTTCATTCCGCCTACACTATTAGTTATTTTTTTAATAGGTGAAAATAGAATGATAAATCCACCTGGGTTACCTGTGCCCCGCCAGTATATACCGATAGCGCGGGCGGGGTTACCATTCCATTATCATCCATAAAAAAAGTACGCTAAGATGAGGGAAAAGGAATTTTTAGTAGCCAATTGGCCCTACAGCTAACAATAGTATTATTATCAGGTTGATCTCCCTTAAAAACATTGTGTTTAATTCTACTGAATTCAACACGATGGGCCAACTGACCTGATTTCTTCACTAGTACCCCGCAGCGTCGGTGTACGCTGCGGGGTACTAGTGAAGCGGGGTAATAGCGCAGGCGGGATTACATTCCATTTACACCCTATTAGATAAATATCCAGAAATGTCTATTTCGTATCGCGTCGTGTAGATATCGGAATGTTACTATCATAGAGGGCAGCGCAATCTTTATAAAAATGTTACAAAATACGATCCAATTGAGAACCTTCTGAAGTCACGTAAAATAACGCTATTTCCGTATTCAAACCCACACAGGCAGTATGAGCCAATTATAACTTGGCTCGTGCAATTTTTTTAATTAAAATTCATAAGCCTGCTTTCTGTATATAGTCAACATTCCCATTGTTGTTAATTGGATATTCCAAAAGCAAGTAAGTCAAAATTAAAAATTTGGCTGCTATTATAGCGGTTGTTAGTGAAGCGCTTCGCTTTATGGACAAGTACTCTCTTTCATGATAGCTAAGTGCGATATACATTTTACAAGTTGCTGACTTTGTATAAAACTCATCTGTGAGAGTTAAGATCGTCTATGATAACATGGCACATCCCTCCAAATAATCTAAATAATTAAAAATGTATAAGTTACAATATTTACAAGGTTTCGACCTTCCTCTTTCTTCTTCTCTTTTTTCTTTTTTCTACCTTTTTCTTTCTTTTTTCTCTTTCTTTTCAATTCCTCTAGTCAGACCGTTACTAAAGACGATTTCTCACACATACAAACTCAGCCAGCACTATGTTTGTATATGTTCACACACTTTGAAGTAAAAAGTTGGAGGGGCATGCCATATCTACATAGACAATCTATACTTCTTTCACACTCCCTTTTCTGCCGTGATGCAGCGAGGCAGCTGTCCCTGCATAACAGTCATGTAAGGACAACTGCCTCAGCTGCCTTTCAGTTTGAAGGATGTGATATGGCACTAAAATCACAAAGCATAGAGGCTAACGATAAAGTCCTAGAGTTCATTTGCATTCCATAAAAATAAATCACTAATATCTTCAGAAATAGCGACGTATGAACTGCATCATAAGCATCACAGTGTATTCTGTTACGTCCTGTGTATCATATAATGTGATACCACTTTCCATCAGCCGGGCCTTTAATTTGCTATTCCATGTTGTATAAAAAGAAATACTATTTAAATACATTTTCATGCGAAAAAAAAAACAAGGAATTATTACCCACTGTTTTCTCAGTGTGATCATTTCTTGTAATTGTTTATATCTATAATAAGTTTTTTTTCATAACACATGGGACAAACGAGCACGCGTCTCACTTGATGGTAATTGACTACCACCGCCCATGATCACCCACAACACCAACGGCATTGCAGGTGTGCTGCAGGCCTTTTAAAAAGAAATGTGCTCTTTTTGAGGTTATGATATCGTATCTATTCGAAAATACTGCAGCTGGAAATTGATCCCAAAGAGCGGTTGTGTGTGGAAGAAAGTGCCTTGAAAAACGCACGGTGGAGGACCGCCACTCATCCAGATGGTTGGGATGGAACTTAAGTTTGTGGCGGGTTGTACGGTGGTGAAAATCAGCAGCAAGTATCAATATAAGTATACGTTTACTATTTTAATCTTTTGAAAGAAACAATAAAGAGTATCTATCTTGCTATCTATCTATCTATCTATGGCTGTGTTTCGGTTTGAAGAGTAGGATATGGCGTGAATTTACTGGATACAAAGGAATAACACCTGAGTCCTCAGGAATGGCAACGCATGACGAGTATCATGGGCGAAACAGTATACTCTGTTATGTCCATGGTACTGCTCATGTCTGTAGGCGACGGTTATCACTTTCCATCAGGTGGACCGTCAGCTTGTTTGCCATTCTAAGTTGTATAAAAAAATATATAAATAAAAAAAATATCTATCTATTTACAGATATTATATTTATTACGTACGGAACCCTCGATGTGAATTCAACTCGCACGTGACCGGACTCTTGCTTAATTGAACACTGTATTTAGTGTTGGGAACAATGTTTTTGACATTTAGATAATTAAAAATATTCATAAACAGCAACGTGATTTAATAAACTTAACACCGAATAGAAGAAAGTTCTAGACTTTTAGATATTAAAAACATGCGTACAATACCACGATTCATTTTAGACGACGTCATCTGAATTGCTTTCAGTAAGTTTCTGCAGACCTTGAACTATTTTAATAATAATACGGATGAACGATATATAGCAATATATATGAGTATACTTAATTATACCGACATAAAATAAGCCACCCCTTCCTTTCCCGTGCATGTCGTAAGACGCGACTAAAGGTATGGTCGAGGAATGGGCAGCAACGTCTCTCTTAAAATATTGCCAAAGCCTAACTACAATTGCCAACCCTCTTGCCAAATGTAGCAACTACTGACACAACCCCCTTTATGAAGAAGGCCTATATTCACCAGTCAACAGTTAACGCCTGATATAATAATATACTGTAGTTACAATATCTATATATTGGGCCAATAACGAATATATTAGATATCAGTTATCGAATATACATATGTATAATACTAAAATGAAACACCCGAATAAAATGAATATAAATCTCTAACAACTGCCAACCTGCTTGCCAAACGTTACAGCTACTGGCAAACCCCCCTTAATGGGGGAGACCTATATTCAACAGGGGACAATAAACGGCTGATATGGTGATAACGACATGTCATATTGTGTCTTTTTAAGAAACCCTCCCGCCCCAAATTAAATTAATTTTAAATACTTCAATAAATATAAGATAAAAAATTCAAATTAAATGCATACTCAAATAGACTTGTTTGGGGAGGAAAGAGATTGTTAGTAATGGAGACTGAGAATCCCATTGCTAACAATACACCCAACCAGGTCGACCTCCTCGTGGTTCTCCCTGGAAACTATCATGGTTAATTCCTGGTGAATTCATCATGATGGGCTAACTGGCCTGTTTTCATTCTCATCTATCACCCTTCACTGGTGCTCCGCCAGCGTGTCCCGTTAGCGCAGGCGGGGTTACCATACCATTTTCACCCATCAAAAAAAAAATAGACTTGTTTACAAGCTTTTCTTAAATCGTATTTTTTTTTAAATCTACTATAAAACTACAAATATAATACATACTTACGTTTCTAATATACATAGTTAGGATAATGTGAATTTAGAATAATAAATTTACCTCATACTGATCTTGATAAAAACTATAATGAATTATAAAGAATGTTAAGGTTTGAAGGGAGACCCATTTTGCCATTTCACCATGTGTCGACGACGAAAACGCGTCTGAAACTGCGAACGACTTACAGTTTGCAATTTACAATTGGTTTCTTTAAACAAACCTAATATAAACATAGATAAAGTAAATTTGGGTTTCGCCTATTGGTTGACGTTATTCAATCTGTGAACACAGAAAACGACTTTAATCTTGCCTTAGTGTTTTATTTTGTTTTATTTACTCAAAGGAAGATTAATAGACAAATATTTATTTATGTATACTTCTGCACACATTAAAATATGTCTACAGGGCAGACTTAATACCTGATGGTATCACTTATAGATACCAGAGGGAGACTTTGTACAAAAGTTGATTGCTTGGGTACCTCTGTCCCATTCGTGTTTCAACCGTGAAGCAGTTGTATTTGCATGGCTGTGTTTCGGTTTGAAGGGTGGGATATGGCGTGAATTTACTGGGTACAGAGGAATAACACCTGAGTCCTCAGGAATGGCGACGCATAAGGGTTATCATGGGCGAAACAGTATACTCTGTTATGTCCATGGTACTGCTCATGTCTATAGGCGACGGTTACCACTTTCCATCAGGTGGGCCGTCAGCTTGTTTGTCATTTTAAGTTGTATAAAAAAAAAGGTATACTTATAGTCCTAAACTAATTGGCTTTCATATTTATGAAACAAATAAATGTACAAATTCTTTCCAATGATAAAATAGTTATCAAAATCGGAACAGAATTAATTATAACATTGACACGAATTGGAATTTTCTCTCCTTTCTAAAGTCTATTGAAAATTTATTTATTTTATTTATACTTTATTGTGCACGTACAATAAGACATAAACAAAATGATAAAGGAAGCAAATGTACGAAAAATGTCTAAAGGAATTCTCTTCCAGCAAATTATTATAGGTATTTTGATAAAATTTACAAAATTATTTTTGTTTTAAGTATACGAACAAGAAAATATTTTGTTTTAAGATTTCACGTTCATTTTTTAAAAAGGGGCAGCATCATTCGCGTATTTAAGATTTTTTTCCTGGTCTCTAAAAGAGGTCCGTTTGTACTCTTAGACATAATCTTTGCTCATAGCTAAAAACTCGGGATCCTAGGATGGACACTTAACAATCCTGGCGTGGGCATACACCCACCCTGCCCTCCATTTTAAATATGTCTATGGACAATGATGGCATAATAGTTAATTAACGTTTTTAATTTCTTGTCAAAAATTTATTTTTTATATAATTTTTCTTTAATATACAGTCAGAAGTCTTAATTTTTTCTAATGTTTTTTTTTTATTCTAAATTATTATCATTATCTTTAATGGTTATACAGGTATTATTCTCAAATAATGTGTTTTTCTGAAAAAATATTTTATTAACTTCTGAGCATTATTATTGACAATGTTGCTGTAGTTTTCAATAGTATTTGTTTGTTTAATTTTGTTTCATTTAGTATTGTCTAATTTTGTGTTTCGTTTACTTGTATTTTATTTTGTGTACATTCTAGTGGCTACCAAATTACTATTTAAGTATATAATTATATATTATTTTAGCTGTTTGGTTGCCTTAAATAAATAAATAAAATAAATAATATATGTGATACCAACATGTATAACTTAATATTGTATTCTACAATAGCAGTTATTTTGAATTCCAAACTAAACCACTACTAAACCGATTTTGATAAAATTTCTATGGAACCAATCTATAAATATATCCTTCCATATAGACAAAAAAAAATCAAATTGAATTAGAACTGATGGAGTTATGTGGTAACAAACATACAAAAATACAACCGAATTAAGTTAACTCTTTCGTTTTGAAGTCGCTTCAAAATCGATTCAGAATGTGCCAAAATTAAACACATAAACAACATAGGTAATTGAGAATTCTCCTTTGTCGTAATTTTTTTTATTTCTATGCAACCTTTACTGATAGACGTTCTGACGGCCCACCTAATGGAAAGTGATTACGGTCGTCTGTAGGGGGGTAGGGATTGTTAGTAAAGCGGACTACCAGGCCCATTGTCTTTTTTTAATGGATGATAATGGAATGGTTACCCCGCCTGTGCTATCGGTATACACTAGCAAGGCGCACAGTGAAGGATGATAGATGAGGATGAAGCGGGTCAGTTGGCCCATCGTGGAGAATTCAAATAAACCAAAAAAATAAACCAATCACAATAGTTTCCATGGGGAACCGCGTGGAGGTCAATCTGACAGGACCTGTATTACTAGAAATGGGGTTGCTAATCCCCATTACTAACAATCCCTTTTCCCCCTAATCCTATTGTTACCAATATACTCTGTCAGGTCGACCACATGGTCCCCCCGGAAACCATCACGCAATTTTTTTTTATACAACTTAGAATGGCAAACAAGCTGACGGCCCACCTGATGGAAAGTAGTAATCGTCGCCTATAGACATGAGTAGTACCATGGACATAACAGAGTATTCTGTTTCGCCCATGATACCCCCATGCGTTGCCACTCCTGAGGACTCAGATGTTATTCCTCTGTATCCAGTAAATTCACGCCATATCCCACCCTTCAAACCGAAACACAGCAATGCAAACACAACTGCTTTACGATTACACGATTCCAGCTGTATTCATCACAATGGGCTAACTGATCTGTTGATTCATTCTCATCTATCATCACTCGTTGGTGCCTCGCCAGTGTATATCGTTAGCGCGAGAGGGTTACCATTCCATTATTATGCATTAAAAAAAAACTATCATCTGTAGACATGAATATAACAGACATTATAATATTTTGTATTTGTCGCTATTCAAGAACCTTTCTTATCCATCGGTTGTCAGTTCTTCGAGCTATGTGACCAGCGTATTACCATTTCAACTTGCTTATATTTATATTTTTTTATGCAACTTAGAATGATAAACAAGCTGGCAGCCCACCTGATGGAAAGAGGTAACCGTCGCCTATAGACACCAGCAGTATTATAGACATACAGAGTATTCTATTTCGCCCATGATACCTCCCATGCGTTGCCATTCCTGGGGACTCAGGTGTTATTCCTCTATACCCTGTAAATTCACTGCCATATCCCACCCTTCAAACTGAAACACAGCTATGCAAACACATCTGCTTCACGGTAGAAACACGAATGGAATATATCGTCATAATCGTAGAATACTGACGGATCTGACAAAGATTACATATAAAGATCTGTCAGTATTCTACGACTATGACGATATGAACATAAATATATTTATGTCCTAATGTATTATTATAATATTATCTAATAATTCTCTAATATAAGTTATATATAATTAAAAGTATGAGCAACCGGATAAACAACAGGTTTTCTTACCATTTATAGGTTCATTTACAAGAATAATTTCTTAAATCATTTGTTATTTTTAGAATAACGTAAGTAACCCATTGGATTTTTTTTAATATTTCATTAGAACGGACTAAACTTAATAACCCTTTTTAAACCACTTTTTACCAAAACATGGAGAAACCCTCAACCCGATTATCGGGTCAAAGGACTAAAATAACAGTAAAAACATAACAGTTCAATGTTTTCTTATTTCAATCCTTCGAGCCTTCGGTCATTGACAGCAAATTTCACACCTAACTGGTAATTATATATCTGTCCCGCTCAATCTAACTACATTATGTAATAAATACACGAGACAGAAAACAACAACGGTACATCGTCGTTTTCTTGGACTGAGAGTTCAGAGTCAAGGACGAATGCACTCAGATTTCCATACTCGAGAAAGAGACAGCAACATAAACGTGTCCGACGTCTACAGCTCTGGTTAGAAGAAAAAAGGAGTTCAACGCGTGCCGGCACTGCGCATGCGACTGTGTTATTAAAATTTCGAATCTGGAACGAATTTAAAAAAATAATATTTTACTAATAGGACAGTGTTTCAAGAAGAAAAAAATATTTTAGTCTATGGCAACACTCGGGAACCCGTATGGTTACGTGGTTTCAATTTACCGGTGCGCGAATTGACTCATAGTCATACTATGTTACCTACATTCGTAAATATAGATAAATTTAAATAGATAAAAAAACATTTAGTTTGATAAATACTAAGACGTTGTTCTGTTGTGTTAATAAGGATATTTTTCTTTCAACAGCTGAGAGAAAATAATTACCGACCATTGTGGGTAAGTTGTATTTACTATATTTATTTTACTATATTCCATTTTTGAATCTTAAATTGAATTCGTTATCTTAAAAAATTTTAACTTCAAATCTGTTTTATGAGATTTTATTTATTTAATATTAGAATTTGTACGAAATCTTTATTAATTAATAGAAATATGACTATTAATTTTTTAGAAATTGTAATAATGATAAGTCAATTATTTGACATTATTTAAAAATGCTATTATTTTGGTGTACATTTTCGAGTTTTGTGTTTTTATTTTAGTTTACTTTTGTATAAAAACCAATCATTCAATTTTATATAATTTAATCAATTATTTTAATTAAGTAATACATAAATAAGATACAAGTAGTTCTAAAAAAACATGCAATAGATTAAATGTTGTCTTTTATTGATAAATTATAATATTTATACATTTACTCATAGAAAAATAATATATTATGATTTTTTTTTGGTGAACATACATATTTTTGGAATACAATGGGGATCTAACAGCCCCATTGCGGGGGGAGGGGAGACTACCAGTCCCATTGCTAGCAATATACCCTGTCAGGTCCACCTCCATGTGGCTGCACTCTGAACATCATCGTGCAAAATTCCTGGTGTATTCATCACGATGGGCTAACTGACCTGCGTTTTCATTCTCACTTATCATCGTTTACTGGTGCCCCGCCGGCGTATACTGTTAGCGGAGGCGATGTTACCACTCCATTGTCATCCATAAAAAAAAACAGCCCCATTACCATTGATATACCCTATCAGGTCGACCTCCACGCGGTTCTAGCTAGAAATCATCATGGTAAATTCTTTATGAATCCGTCACTAGGCCATTCTTTCATCCTCGCCTATTTATTATCTCTCATTGGTGCGCAAGCGTATTCCGATAGTACAGATGAAGTTGCCATTCCATTACCATACGTAAAAAAAGTCCTATTGTAAAAATATAAAGTGCCATAAACAAAAGCCTAAGAGGTTTAAGTGGTACTAAAAATTCTTTAGCTTTTTGTGTTTTTTGTATTTTGCATGATAAACAAATACAAAAAAAAAATACTTAGTAACTTTGATACGTCTTAACTGTAATTCGTAGCTGACGCAAACAATCGCGGAGTCAGTTTCATAGACACCCCATAACAGACGTATTAACAAATATATTTTTTTTTAATATCAAATTTCTAGAGTACTCAGGAATGGCAACGCATGGGGGGTATCATGGGCGAAACAGTATACTCTGTTATGTCTATGATACTGCTCATGTCTATAAGCGACAGTTACCACTTTCCATCAGGTGGACCGTCAGCTTGTTTGCCATTCTAAGTTGTATAAAAAAAAACGATATTCAAAAGAACATAGAACGACATTATTACACTAAAAGTGTCTTAAGGATGGCACCTAGAATATATAATAACTTACCTAAATCCCTCACAGACATAGATGTCATAAAAAAAAACTAAACTGTATGAATACCTAGTAAACAGAACATACTATTCAATTGACGATTTACTTGAAGATAAGTGTAATAAATTTCCATAATATTATAATTTTTTTACTATAAATGTGACATTGCTCATTTTTTATAAATATTTTTTTTCTTATATAATTGCAAATTTGTATACCTCGATAGATGGGGTTAATCACAGAGGACGTATCTTGTTTTACCATCCATTGTTACCTATGTATCACGAAATAAATAAATAAAATAAATAAATAATTATTATATATATTTTTTTTTCTTATATAATTGCAAATTTGTATACCTCGATAGATGGGGTAAATCAAAGAGGACTTATCTTGTTTTACCATCCAATGGTAAAACCTATGTATCACGAAATAAATAAATAAAATAAAATAAATAAATAATTATTACGAATTAATTTGTACTCGTGCCTGTTACAAATGAAACATATCATAAATTTATTAAATCACTAGATAAAAACGGATTTTGTTTTAATTAATCACGTATTATTGTAGATTAAATAAGTATTTACCTCTTTTTATCTTATTTGTAAATAACTAATTTTGATAAAATGATAAAATATGACAAGATTGTTTATTATGTAACTAGAGTATATGTGGGTACTTGTATTTTTATTTATATGTTTTTTTTTTTAATGGGTGAAATGGTAACCCCGCCTGCGCTAACGGAATACGCTGGCGGAGCACCAGTGAAGGGCGATAGATGAGAATGAAAACAGGCTAGTTAGCCCATCATGATGTATTCATCAGGAATTAACCATGATAGTTTCAAGGGAGAACCGCGAGGAGGTCGACCTGGTTGGGTATATAGCTAGCAATGGGATTCTCAGTCTCCATTACTAACAATCCCTTTCCCCTATGTTAGGTACATGATAACGTATCTACTGCCAATTGTAATCCGATTTTGATAATGATTTTTGATAGGTGGGATATGGCGTGAATTTACTGGGTACAGAGGAATAACACCTGAGTCCTCAGGAATGGCAACTCATGGGGGGTATCATGGGCGAAACAGTATACTCTGTTATGTCCATGGTACTGCTCATGTTTATAGGCGACGGTTAATACTTTCCATCAGGTGAGCCGTTAGCTTGCCATTCTAAGTTGTATAAAAAATATATATATATTTTATTTAAAAAACTATTTTATTATTATGATTTTTCTTAGGAAGTGTATATACGACTATATATCGTTTATTTATTTATTTATGTACACTTTATTGCACCATTTATAGAATAGTAAACACATTTAACTGTAATAAGAAATGATACAAAAGGCGGTCTTATCGCTAAGCAATCTCTTCCAGACAACCTTTGGGTAGAGAACATTGAGAAAACAAAGAAAAATAAAGGGTAGGTGGCGCACTATTATATTAGTACTAATTATATATAAACAAATATATACAAAGATATATACATATACATGTATATACATATATATACATAAACAAATACATACATAAACATACACAAACTTAAAAGTACACATACAACAGGAGAGAGTGACACTGGAAGATGAAGATAGAACATGGGAAAAAATAGTTACTTAAAGGGAGAGATAATGGGCTTTAACAGAGGTTTTGAAACTAGCGAGAGATTGAGCGCACCGTATAGAGGTAGGTAGTGAGTTCCACAGGCGAACTGCCTGTACAGTAAAGGAATTGGAATAAAAGGAAGTGGAGTGAGTTGGAAATTTGAGACGGAGATTATTGACACTGCGTGAAGTTTGGCCATTGGCCTCACTAAGAAACACAAATCGGTCTTTAAGATAATCAGGAACAATGGGGTTAAAAAGAATCGCGTAAAGGAGAGATAGGATATGTAAATTACGACGAAAACGGATAGGGAGCCACTTGAGTTGAGTACGAAATTGAGAAATGTGATCATACTTGCGAAGACCAAATATGAAGCGAATACATAAATTTTGAAGACGCTCAAGCTTGTTTAATTGCTCTTCAGTAAGGTCTAAATAACAGGAGTCGGCATAGTCAAGAATGGGCAGGAGTAAGGAGTGTGCAAGCGCAATTTTGGTGGTAACAGGAAGGAAATTGCGTAATCTATTCAAGGCGCTATTAACAGCAAAAATTTTATCGTTCCATATATCACAAACAATTGCACGTTCTAAATTTAAATATTTCAATTGAAATTAATTCTAATTAATTCGAAAAAATTCAATCTAATATATTTAAACTTCTCGTTCCAAACAGTTCATATATGTGAGTGTCATTTAATATTTTCGAGTTCTCCCAAAGAGTAATTTAAAACATAATAACATTTATCTGCTAGTTTTACAATATACCTTATGACCATAAACCACTGCAATTCCAAAATCAATTTTTTTATGCCAACTAAATTATACCCTATAACAGGTGAGCGGGTCAACGACTCCGTGATTATGTGACGTCACGCGGCATGTACCGCAATGTACCGAGTGGCCGTTTCCTCCTGCCTTCGTGGAAAGGTTTTACAACATGTCCCATTTATGTTTTTTTTTTTATTACCGACGTAACCTGGACGGGATTAGTGGTTTAATGCTTGATTTTCGAGATAGGCCCTGGTATAGAGCACAAATTGGATTTAGTCTAACAAATTCTTCATGGTCACGACCTTATCTATGGTACAATGTCACTATGTACATGTATGTCATATATTCATTGTATCAAATTGTAATTTTGACGGTGAAACTCCGCAAACTATTACGCTTTTCCTTACAGAATATACTAAATATTCAAAGTAAAGTATAAACAGTAAATTTAGATAAATTAGTAAAAGAGGTTTGTTTGAATCAAAGCATTTCGCATTCCATTGTTTCTGCCTACCCTAATGGGAGACAGGCGTGACAGATATGTATGTATGTATTTATGATAAATACCAACCACACAAAAGAAAAAGAACATATTCGAAGATAATTGCATTTAATTTAATTCGCTAGAACAATATTTAAAGTAATAAGAAAGAAGAATTGCTCAAAATACCTGGATTGACTACATTACACGGACTTTATTATATGTACATATATGTTTATATAAGTATAAAAAAAGAAGAAGAAAAAACAGTTTTAAATTCGCAGATATAAATACAAAAAAATGCTAGAAGAGGTGACCTCAAAGATAACGACAGAAATCACTACTCTTTATAAAAAAACAAAACTTATAATTCTTATTTTAAAACAAATAAAATATGTCGATGAACGATGAAATTTTATGTGAACTCGTCAGATTTCAAATATTCGAAATTCGAATTTAGAACGCGGAGTCGTGTGTCCTCAAATAAATTTTGCATTGCAAAGAAAAAAGTTGCTTTAGTGTTACTCTGTACAAAAATAATATTTATATATTATTTTTGTTACAAACATTAAAAATGACGATGCAATCACATGATACGGTGTATAAATATAGATCTTCAGAAATACTAACTATGTATACGATATACAATTTGGTGCAGTAGTTTTTGCATGACACAGGAACAAACATACAGACAAGCAAATTTTTTTTTTTATTTTCCCTTCTATTGCTCTTATTAACGC